TAAGAAAAAACAATTACATAAACATTTGCGTAATAAAATCTTAGGTATAATCATCCCATTAGCAATGTTACTGTAAGTTGCCTTCCTTTTCCTTAGTTTTGTGGTGGTTCAGTATCATAAACATTGACTATAGAAAGAAGTTGACTGCCTATAGGAAGAAGTAGATTATTGGATGGAGAAGATCAAGCACAAGAAATTCCTCAAAGACAAGTGTATCATACACCAGAAAGAGTTTGATGAAAATAAACATTTTAATCAGTCCTCAAAATCGTGACTGCAGCCATTTTGGTGGCCATCTTGGATATCAAAATAAAGGAATGCCTTAATTATAGACAAAATTAAAATTCTTGACCCTTAAAACCAAGACATGATCTCCAAAATCACTGTTCTTTGAGCTTAAATCAATAGTTACATATTCATTGCAGCACCCATTTTGGTGGCCATCTTGGATTTCTATAAAAACGTAATTATTTGATTACTTATAGATTTAGACATAAATGAAATCCTTGGCCCCTACAAAATAGACAGAGTCTCCAAAATTACTGTTCTTAACTGTTCTTTTAGCTTATTAAATCAATAGTTACATATTCATTTCAGCACCCATTTTGGTGGCCACCTTGGATTTCTATATAAAGAAATTATTTGATTACTAAGGATTTAGACATAAATGAAATCCTTGGCCCCTACAAAATAGACAGAGTCTCCAAAATTACTGTTCTTAACTGTTCTTTTAGCTTAAATCAATAGTTACATATTCATTTTGGCACTCATTTTGGTGGCCATCTTGGATTTCTATAAAAAGTAATAGTTTGATGACTTAGATTTAGACATAAATGGAATCCTTGAACCTTAAAGCCATGACAGGATCTCCAAAATCACTGTTCATTGAGCTTAAATCAATAGTCACATATTCATTTTGGCACCCATTTTGGTGGCCATCTTGTATTTCTATGAAAAGGTAATTATTTGAAGACTCTGATTTAGACATAAATGAAGTCCTTGACTCTAGAACTATGACATGATCTCCAAAATCACTGTTCTTTGAGCTTAAATCAATAGTCACATATTCATTTCAGCACCCATTTTGGTGGCCACCTTGGATTTCTATATAAAGAAATTATTTGATTACTAAGGATTTAGACATAAATGAAATCCTTGGCCCCTACAAAATAGACAGAGTCTCCAAAATTACTGTTCTTAACTGTTCTTTTAGCTTATTAAATCAATAGTTACATATTCATTTCAGCACCCATTTTGGTGGCCACCTTGGATTTCTATATAAAGAAATTATTTGATTACTAAGGATTTAGACATAAATGAAATCCTTGGCCCCTACAAAATAGACAGAGTCTCCAAAATTACTGTTCTTAACTGTTCTTTTAGCTTAAATCAATAGTTACATATTCATTTTGGCACTCATTTTGGTGGCCATCTTGGATTTCTATAAAAAGTAATAGTTTGATGACTTAGATTTAGACATAAATGGAATCCTTGAACCTTAAAGCCATGACAGGATCTCCAAAATCACTGTTCATTGAGCTTAAATCAATAGTCACATATTCATTTTGGCACCCATTTTGGTGGCCATCTTGTATTTCTATGAAAAGGTAATTATTTGAAGACTCTGATTTAGACATAAATGAAGTCCTTGACTCTAGAACTATGACATGATCTCCAAAATCACTGTTCTTTGAGCTTAAATCAATAGTCACATATTCGTTTTGGCACCCATTTTGGTGGCCATCTTGTATTTCTATGAAAAGGTAATTATTTGAAGACTCTGATTTAGACATAAATGAAGTCCTTGACTCTAGAACTATGACATGATCTCCAAAATCACTGTTCTTAACTGTTCTTCGAGCTTAAATCAATGGTTACATAAAGGTGTTCATTTTGGCACCCATTTTGGTGGCCATTTTGGATTTCTATAAGAACTAATTGCTGGATGACTTAGATTTTGGCATGAATGAAATCCTTGACCCCTAAACCTTAACATAGACCCTAAAATCACAGTTTCTGCATCTCAGTGTGCTTAGATATACTCACTCTTATATTGTAACATGTGCACCGGCGGCCATTTTGAAAAATGGGTGATAACACCCATTTAGCTACAATTGTTGCAATGCTATCACATAGTTTCTTACTCTAGAGGTCTTAACCTTCCAAAAAATCACTATGGCGATTATTCCCCTGATTTGATACCGATAACCTAAATTTTGGGGTGAAGCTGATGGCCTATATGGTTCCCGAGTCAATACACCATTTCATATTTGAATGCTCCTTATTCCAGGACCAAAGGGATGAACTAGTACTTGCTCGCATCGACATTATCCTACATGTTAGTACTTACAACTCATACTAGGCCTTAACACAAACATCAGCGGGCCCACCAACAGAATAATTTCAGAAGCGCTGCATCGCTATCTGCAAAATATCAAAAGATGTTAAAGGCCCACTTTGCGAATTTTCAATGTTTTTGGGCAAAATAAAGATTTTTATTTGAATTCTATAAAATGTTCAATGTATTGATAAGAACCCTATCTTTCGTTTGACACCAACCGCAGCTCAAACGGACCACATCAAAGCTTACAATAATTGATCAAAAAATATTTTTCGATCTGTCAAGCTTTATATATCAAGTTTTTCTTTTTTTATCAATGTTATTCACCCTTGGTATACGCAGCTAACGAAAATTGACCGGTACGGGTCAAAAACTGGACCGGTACGGGTTAACGGTTTTATTTGAATTTAAAATAGCCATAACCTGCTCAATATTGACTTCTTCGTGTCTAATTTGAAATATATGATGCCTCCCGATGCTTTTAAGTACCCCATTTTTTTACAGATTTCTAAACGGACCAAAACTCTCTAAATGCGCATTTATGCTCTTTTCTCTCGAGAACGACTGTCTCATTTTCACGATAACTTTTATTTAGTACTTCTAACATATAAGATCTATTTTTCCCCATCAAGGTATGATGTAAATGACATGCTATTTACATCTTGTGAGTTTCAATGACGCACGTTTGATTTTATAAAAAATGCCAAACTTTGTGACAAAGAATATCATCCTGCTTGCAGCGAGAAGACGGACCGGTTCGGGGCAATCTGCTTGCAGCGAGAAGACGGACCGGTTCGGGGCAATAGCTGATGAAATTCTTTGTCACAAAGTTTGGCATTTTTTATAAAAATCAAAGCGCGTCATTGAAACTCACAAGATGTAAATAGCATGTCATTTACATCATACCTTGATGGGGAAAAATAGATCTTATATGTTAAAAGTACTAAATAAAAGTTATCGTGAAAATGAGACAGTCGTTCTCGAGAGAAAAGAGCATAAATGCGCATTTAGAGAGTTTTGGTCCGTTTAAAAATCTGTAAAAAATTGGGGTACTTAAAAGCATCGGGAGGCATCATATATTTCAAATTAGACACGAGGAAGTCAATATTGAGCAAGTTATGGCTGTTTTAAATTCAATAAAACCGTTAACCCGTACCGTTTCAGCTTTTGACCCGTACCGGTCACTTTTCGTTAGCTGCGTATACCAAGGGTGTTATTGAAAGATGGCGAAGTTGTTCGCATTACATGATACATTCATTTTTATAGAAGTGTCGCCATCTTTTAAATCAAAAGTAATTACATGCATGCATGTGTAATGATCTCTGAACTTGAAATGTTTTTTTCTGTGTGATTTTTTCTCGGTTCAATATTAAAGCAAACCAAACTTTTTGTCATATTTGACATTGATATGTTTCATTGATCATTTTTTCTTTTTTCTTCTAAATTAAGTATAGTGGGGCCAACATAATAAGAGACAGTGACTGGCTCTATACTAAACTCATGAGTTCACAATATTGAAAGAACATGTTCTCAGCGCTCTCTCCATCTTAGTAAAGTATAATGAGATATAGTACCAAGGTGAATTACTGAGTAACCAGTGTCCAAAGCAGGCGCGTATCGTGGTCATTTTGCAAGGGTACGCCCCAGTATGTGGATGAATCACCATTGATATACGCAGCTAACGAAAATTGACCGGTACAGGTCAAAAGCTGGACCGGTACGGGTTAACGGTTTTATTTGAATTTAAAACAGCCATAACTTGCTCAATATTGACTTCCTCGTGTCTAATTTGAAATATATGATGCCTCGATCCCGATGCTTTTAAGTACCCCAATTTTTTACAGATTTTTAAACGGACCAAAACTCTCTAAATGCGCATTTATGCTCTTTTCTCTCGAGAACGACTGTCTCATTTTCACGATAACTTTTATTTAGTACTTCTAACATATAAGATCTATTTTTCCCCATCAAGGTATGATGTAAATGACATGCTATTTACATCTTGTGAGTTTCAATGACGCGCGTTTGATTTTATAAAAAATGCCAAACTTTGTGACAAAGAATTTCATCCTGCTTGCAGCGAGAAGACGGACCGGTTCTATTGCTAATACACTCCCTTAATGAATTTGCATCGATAATGTGGTATTAATTAATTGATTAGTAACCCGTGAATTACAGGCCCCCAAAAATAAAAACACTACACCAGACGAAAATAGAGAAAGTCGTCTGCACAAGGTCGTGCGAATTTGGAAATGCTCTACACATAAGGGCTTTTATTGGCTTAATCAATGTAGTTAAAGCTAAATCAACTTATCGTACGGTTTAAATTATTAAATTACTTCTTACATTCAATAATGTCAAGTGATACTCAGGTTTATACGTACTGAATTTGCTGATTTTGAGCGTGTCTGCCTGGATTCGCCATCATACTCTTTGAATCACGAAAAAATTTGAATCACGAAAACAGTGAATGACAATGAGGGAATCGAGAACTTATTGTTAATACACTTGTACAACAAAGGTTTACACATCATCAAAGAAAATAACAGTAAAATACTGAATTTCATGTTTTTTCAAAATATTTTTTCAAATTCAAACAGTACGCCTGGGCGTATTTTGCGTACATGACGATACGCGCCTGCAAAGACAGCATTATAGTGTTTATTGCATCTAGCGGTACATGCTTTTCAAACTTTAGTTACTGATAGATGTCACTTCATGCTTTCAACGGAGCTCAATAAATAATGACGTCACATGTAAACTGAGAAGATGAATAAAATAGAAATCGAAATCGCAGAAAATTCTTGGATATTTATTTAGGATTACGCGTGTTTTACGCAGATTTTCTCCTTCAAACATGGCACAGCAGGAGAAGATGCATATGCTCACAGATTATGTGTATAAGGTGGGTTGAAATTTGTATGACTTTGATCGAATAGCAGTGTTTCCATCGGGTCTTGTCTTGCTGTGTCTGCAATGCAGGAATGCATCCATGGCATTCAAAGAAAATGTTTACTTCGATCATTTTGCCAAGTGTCATCAAATTTGATTTGTTCACATTAACTATTGAACTAAGGACCATGCATCGCACAATTTTAACAGCATGTCTAGTATATTTTGAAGTGATTGTGACCGGGGGATTGTGCCTGACAAAATGGTTGTGCCAGGTCAAAAACAACATTACAACAGACTTGAACAGTGGTGTAGGGTAACGTCAAATTATGAGGTAATGTGGACATGGTGACTTTGGCACTTACTTATTCAGGCCTGTAGCTTAGTAGGTTCTCATTCTCAGATAGGTTCAACCTTCCTCCTTTCCCCGCCAAAACTTCTTTCAAAATCATGCAGTTTTTCACCATTCAGAACACTGCTCATGTGATGGAAATGTGGGAATTTCTAAAGTTGACAACAGACCTGCTCGCTAGTCGTAGAAATTAGAATTTCTGTTTTTCTACAGCGGATGGCGTTGTGTTACTCTTGTTATAACGAGTACTGTATCATTGCATGGTCAGTCTTCATTGTATTCTAGGACCGAGGGTAGTCAAGTAACTAAAGAGTTAAAAAGTCTTGCTATACCGAGTTATGAGTAGCCAAAATCCTTTGAGCTTTACTGACACATAACACGGAACTTGGTACTTTTAAATGGCTTGCAATTATTAGAATAGTATAATAATGTGAAATGTTTTCATAGTTTAATAAAGAAGTGTTTGTTTTATTTCAAACATAGCTAGTAGTAATACACTAATAGTCATATCGATTCCTTGATCAAATTTGACAAAAGCTCATCCTAATTACTGAATACATTAGATCTACACACATCCAAAGTCAAAGTTCCATACAGAGTCTTGCAAGAAAATTGTTGCCATTAGATGATATAGATTTGGCGTTGAGTAAACAAATAAGGTTGGTATATATTGCAAGCAACGCAAGTTGCGAAACTTGACAACCCCCCCTGCTTGAAGAAATACTGGGGAGATCACTGATATGAATACAATATAATTATTCTATATTCATTATCACGCCCGGTGATCGTGAAAATGGGACGGAGGGTGGGAGCAGGCAATTTCCGCTAGAAAATTCAACAAATCTGGTAAAATTATTTTTTCAAGACAGAGTTTACGATTGAATTGCAAATTGAATAAGCGCACGGTATGATAAAATATGTTATGTATTCTAGGATTATTTTTCAACCGATACTCTTTTAAGATATAAGATCTATTAAAAAAAGGCGCAACGCAACCAACGTGCAAAAGTCAAAGTTTTTGCTATAAATCAAGCAACAATGGACTACACGACCTGTAATAAATACTTGTAAGTGATGTTATCATAACTAAATTAATGTCATTGCTGAATTTATAAAATAAGTTTCCATACGTAAAATAAAAAATAATCTAAAATAATTAAAATGGGACGGAGGGGGGGAGGGGACGGAGGGGGGGGGGGAGGGGACGGAGGGGGGGGAGTATTAATTCTATAAAGTGAAACAACTTCACACGAATTCTTGTATTTGAAAAATGAACTCATGAACTTAGTAAGAAACTGGATGATATACCCCTGGAGACTGAAAAATGGGGACATTTGGAGTAAAAGGACTTAAAGTCGCAAAACATCTCTAATCATGTCTTATATACATATTGCTCCCCCCCCTCCGTCCCCTCCCCCCCCCCTCCGTCCCAAATTCATTATTTTCGATTATTTTTTATTTCACATATGGAAACTTATTTTATAAATTCAGCAATGACATTAATTTAGTTATGATAACATCACTTACAAGTATTTATTACAGGTCGTCCAGACCATTGTTGCTTGATTTATAGCAAAAACGTTGATTTGTGCCTGTTGATGGCCTTGCGCCTTTTTTAATAGATCTCATACCTTAGATGCGTATCGTTTCAGAAAAAATCCCAGAAAACCTAACATATTCCACCATACCGTGCACCTATCCATTTAGCAATTCAATAGTAACTTTTTCTTGAAAAAATAAATCTTCCAGATTTTTGAATTTCCTAGCAGAAATTGCCTGCTCCCCCCCTCCGTCCCATATTCACGATCACCGGGCGTGATTATTGAATGCTCCTGGAATTTGATAATTGATATTTCCCGCTTTTACTTTCAGTAAATTTCTGTGTAGTGATACTTTCACAATGTGCTATTCCACCCTATTCTAGGCTTTGTGGTATATTACAGTAAAACCTGACCAATCCGAACGCCATTGGGACCGGCTTAAAGCAGATATGAAATGGTATTTTTAACCTAAAGGAATCAATATAATTTTTTGATAGATGTATTTGGACATGTTTTCTCATCAGAAGTGTGAAAACTATTTCACTCTAACGATCGTTATAGCTGCTTAATAAGCAATATTCGAATTGGTTGTGACGTTATTGGCCCCCACGTGATCTCTTACTGGTCCCCACGTGGCCCGTTTTGGTCCATTAGATCATGACGTCATAATGCCAAAATGTTTTGTTATTTATTTACACAACAATCCTATGGTTGCCGTGACGTTATGATTACTATGGAACCAATAAACCAAAGCTATATTTTGTATATGACGTTACTAATCACGTGGGGGCCAATTTGATTTATCAGTTAGTTTTATTTCCTTATCTATGACCGTTAGCAGTTATCTAACATTTATTTTATAATGGCTATCGCAAGAACTCTATGGTGGGCTTACAATGGAGAAAACTACATTTTTGAAGCTGCAAGTTGAGAAAAGCTATTTCAGTTGTCCTTTAAGCATTCAGATTAGGAGGTTTTCACATTTCGAGGTTTTTGCATTCGCGAGTTTCTGGATTCTGAAGAAATGTGAGCACATTCTCGGTACATGTTTATAGTTCGTTTGACCACATAGCTTTAGGCATTTCAGAAGCCCCACAGTCATTTCACAAATAATTCCCTCCCCCCAACCTGCTATTAAAAGAGGGAATTGATATATCCCTATCATTGGAGATGAGATTTATCTCATAAGAAAAGTGGAGGGGTAATGATATCCCTCTCCCAGAATGAACTAAATTGATTTTGAACTAAGGAGTAGTAAATAATATCATCCCAAGAGCAACAATATAGTTTTGTCATTATTTAACATGTAATGATCGAACCTTGCTACATTTTTTCAGAATATACTTGAAGGAGTCAACCCAAAGTTACGACAGCTTTTGGTGACAGGACGGGCGTATCAGAAAGCATTACATGGTAAGTCAGAACTAAATATAGATCTCTGAGAATAACATCCTAAAATACTATACGTAGACACTTTTGTACGTGACTGTAACAATTGATCTGCACTTATAGTATAGTAAAACCTGTATATACATGTATTTGATGACTATTGAACTCTAACTTGAACATTTTCCAAATGTGAACACTTTTTGATCCCATTTTTTACTTCCTTTGAATCCCATGTTAAAAACATTGAAAATTAATGTGAAGAGTGAACACCTCCCATTTTGAATGTTGAACAGTCATATTTCTATTTATATGAATTAACCTCTCATATCTGAACACTTTTCACAATCTATTAAAACATGACCGTGCTGAGCTCTATTTGAATTTCTAAACCAATCAGAATGCAGCATAGCCAATAATGAACGTTCATTATTTCTCCATATAGGCACGCCTGTGCTCTATTCAATCTGTGTATTATGATGTCACACCTGGGAATGGCAAAAATAACAGCAAGTTTGGTTATTTCATTGACTTAACTCCCCAATTCTCTGAACAAGGTTTTCTTTTTTATGTTCGAATCGAGTTAAATAATGATAGGCCATTCAATATGGTGAAATTCTACACTCATTCGGCAGAATGTCAGTACAAATGCACCCCCTTCATTTCGTGCTTTGTACGACACTCTGTGACGTCCAACTCATGTTGAATTTCACCAGATTGAATGGCCTATCATTATTTATTCCTTAATTGAAACCAATTAAATATTTACTGATATTCACTGATTTTATGATTTGATTTGAATCAGATTTTCAAATTATTATAAAAAGCTAGGCGGTCATTCAATAATAAATATTTATTCAGAATCCAGCCAATGCAAAAACTAGGGAGTTCTTCTGCATAAAATATTTCAGTAGGTGCTGCACCCATTTGAGATCTTTCAAATAGGTCTGCACCTGCTTGAACACCTATTTGCACCATCTTGAAAATGAAAATGAGAAAAAAATAGTATATTTTGTCCAACTTTGGTCAGAATTGTGAAAATTAGAATTCCAAAAACCTGGAAAGAACTGCAGTGTATACCACACTAGTTAATAAAATGTACAACATTTCTTGACATTGCTCTATTACAAGCTATCAATAGCCATTGTGTACAATATTGATTTGTTTATATAGAACATGGAACAATAGGTATGTCTCCAGGAATTCATTGCATTGATCTCCTCGGTTAATGTCCATTTCTGATAATACCTGTATAAAGTACAGTACAGCAAAACCTGTCTAAGTGGAACACTACACTAGAATCAGTCACTTTTAAATGTTTTAAGGCACAACTGAAATATCTTTTCTCAACTTGCAGCTACAAAAATGCAGTTTTCTTCATTGTAAGCCCAGCGTAGAGTTCTTGTGATAACCACTATAAACACGGGTAACTAGAGTATCCGCGTATATTGAGTATGACCGGTTCTTAGGCTACGAATATGACCTGTTTTGGAAAGTCATGAGAGGCACAGCTGCTTAAAAATGGAAAATAAAGGTTAACTTCTATATTATCCTTTTTGAAATTGTGTTTGTTGAATATAGTTTATGCTGTATTTAAAAGTAATGTAACAAAAAAATGTTATTTTTTTTAGCAATGTAACTGTTCATAATGGAATATCAATCAGAAAGTACAGATTTCTCGCCTTAGAGCCAAATCATTAATATCACAGTAGAAAAAAACAAATCCCAAACCTTTTTATGGCTAACCTGAACAAGATCTCCAAATCTCAGTTTATATGATCCCCCGTAGAGTGAGCAAGAGAAGGATTTATCTTTTCCCGAAGGATACGCTTGTGAAATGTCATGGAAACGAGTGTAACACGGCATCCAAGACATTTCACAACCGTATTCTCCAATAATGGGGCACCAGTGACATTCGTATTCTCAAAAATTCAAAGATGTATCATATTTGGACAGAGCAGGCTAAATTATTATCCCATCGAACGAAGTTCGGAGGGATATAGGGAACGCCTCCGTCCGTCCGTCCGGACGTACGTCCGTCCGTCCGTCCGTACATACGTCCGTCCGTCCGTACGTACGTCCGTCCGTCCGTCCGGGCAATAACTCAAATACCGTTGGCCCGATTTTGTTCATATTTTGTACACATATACCCTATGGGGGTAGAAGTTCTGCTCGAAAGCCGATTTTCAAAATGGCCGCTCATTTCAAAATGGCGGCCATTTTAGTGCCGATTTTACAGTAATTTAGGTGCAATATGTAAAACTGTAATAGCAATATGTTTTAAATGTAAAAAAATTATAAAGGACATTAAAAAAGCTACAAATGTAGATATTAAAAAAGCACATGTCAGCCATCTTGAAAAATGGCGGCCTTTACTCGTTATTTTACGATTTTTGCTGTAACTCGAAAAGTAGTGGAGCGATTTTGTTCATATTTGGTATGTGAGTACTATAAACATTGCACACTGTCTAAAGACACTTTTGGTAGAAGGCGGCCATTTTGAAAAATGGCCGCCATTTTAACGTATTTTACTATAACTCGAAAAGTAGTGGAGCGATTTTGTTCATATTTGGTATGTGAATACTATGAGCATGGCACACTGTCCTATGACACTTTTGGTATAAGGCGGCCATTTTGAAAAAAATTTTGAAAAATGGCCGCCATTTTAACGTATTTTACTATAACTCGAAAAGTAGAGAAGCGATTTTGTTCATATTTGGTATGTGAATACTATAAACATTGCACACTGTCTAATGACACTTTTGGTAGAAGGCAGCCATTTTTCAAAATGGCCGCCATTTTAACGTATTTTACTATAACTCGAAAAGTGGTGGAGCGATTTTGTTTATATTTGTTATGTGAATACTAAAAGCATGGCACACTGTCTAATGACACTTTTGGTAGAAGGTGGCCATTTTGAAAATGGCCCCATTTTAACGTATTTTACTATAACTTGAAAAGTAGTTCAGCGATTTTGTTCATATTTGGTATGTTTCATATTTTATATGTGAATACTATAAACATGGCACACTGTCTAATGACACTTTGGGTAGTAGGCGGCCATTTTGAAAAATGGCCACCATTTTTATGTTTTTTTACTATAACTTGAAAAGTAGTGAAGCGATTTTGTTCATATTTGATATGTGAATACTCATGAGCCTTGCACACTGTCTCATGACACCTCGGATAGTAGGCGGCCATTTTAAAAAATGGCTGTCATTTTTACATTTTTTACTATAACTCGAAAAGTAGTGGAGCGATTTTGTTCATATTTGATATGTGAATACTCAAAGCATGGCACATTGTCTCATAAAACTTTGGGGAGTAGTCGGCCATTTTGAAAAATGGCCACCATTTTTATGTGTGTTATTTTACAAGTACATGTGTGCGATTTTTCAAAAATTTTATAGATGGCTACTTAAAAGCATATTATTTCTTCTGATGACAACTTGTTTAGTGAGCAACCATTTTGAAAATGGTTGCCTTTCTGGTGTGTTGTTTTATGATATTTGCTATATATTTCGTTTGTAAAAATGCCAGCCATTTCTGTTCGATGGGATTCGCTACGCTTTGGCGTTGCCGTTGTTCTGGTTTAAAATATTCATGACTAATTCGTAGATCTAGCTATATGTTATACATAAGATGTGTCATCCTCTTCGGAGTTGCGTTGTGTTACACAAAAACTGATCAAAGATGCTGGAAACTAGGATTTTACGGCTTCAATCTAATATTAATACGTTTTCTGTTGATTAAGGCCCCTTGTGATATGCCTGGCATTATAAGTATACTAAGTATCATTCATTGACCAAGTAGGATAAAAAGAAAACGTTCGAAAGTGTTCATAAAAAGCAAGTACTCACCTCGTCTGTTTATAGGAACAGAAATACGGTCACACTCGTAAGCTTAGAACCGGTCATACTCAATATACGCGGATACTCTAGTATCCTGTGTATAAAAGAAATGACAAATAACTGCCAATGGTCACATAACAGCATAAAATGTCCAAATTCTTCCATTATTAGATAAAATTGATTCAGTTTTGCATCAAGTATTAGGAGTTGTCTGTTTCAATGTTTTAATAGGCTAAGACGAAATTGGGACAGAGAAAAGGTCTTTGCATTTCAAGGTTTTATAATTGGATGAAGTGACGACAGATTTCAAGAAAAAAATTTCCCAGTGAGAAGTATGATTAGAGGGTTTTTAATGCCTTGTTATCATTGGCTTAAGCCCTTGTTTTTCTCATTCTTAATATTTTGAATATAACTTAAGATAATAGTATTATACTCATTTTATCTTTCTAGGCGTGTCAAGTGCTGCTAAAGCCTATATTGACTCTATGACGAGTCTAGCCAGTGTGTCAAAGCAGTCCAAGGGAGCTACCAGTGATATTGGTAAGTCTAGTCGTATTCATTAAAGCTTAAGCCATGCATGAGGTAGGCGGGGCAACAGCCTAACCCAGAAGTAGGTTTGCATGCTTGCCAGTTCTCTGACTTGAAAAGACTACAACATCAAAGAAAACACTAGTGTCCACCGAGGGGACTATATACCAAGATTATACAAAAATATTAATTAGATGTTTTTCAACTGCTCTTCCAAGATTATACAAAGATAATTGTTTAGTCTGATGTTTTTTTCATCAAAAACTGTGGAATTCAATTCTGAGGTAGTATTATACCTTATTTAGCCTCAATTGGCCTCTACTTTTTACATTTGCCTCATCAAATTCCTGATCCTGCGGTTAGGCTCCTGGTCATTCATCGACAGGTCATCAGTTAATGAGATTCTGATTTAGCAAAGAAGCATAACGAAACTATTGAAAATGGTGCAGAGGCTAAATTGAAAAGTTACAGCAAGGTATTCAAATGTCATGTAAAAAAGTAGAAAAGTGCAACATTGATTTTCTTCAAAAACTGAGATGGAAAATCTCAAGATATAAAGATCGATATTGCAAATAAAATGAGTGATTAAAACTTGAAAAGATGTAAATGATCAATTATTTAAAGGTGCGTGATAGCATTAATCACTATGTCGATATGTAAATGACAATTATAAAATATTCAACTAAAAAGATTGATTGTGTTCAAGTTAATCAGTATTACAATTAATTATGTATCTTGATTTTAATTTTAATTGAATCGTATCAGTTCATATCAGGAACAGAAACTTTATATTGACTTGTCCTCCTCAGTCCTCAGAGTATGGTTAAGCCTACTGCTTTCAGGGTACTGGACTCTCAAAGAGGTATATTAAAGGTGATAACTATTTGATAATTGTTACTCTATTTCTTATAAATGTTCAGGGTGGCAAATTATTGGGAATTTAAGCCATTCAATAGTAATTATTCGATATGAAATGTAATCAGTAATTCAAGTTTCTTACAAATTAAAAAAATGAGAAAAGCTAAATTTCAAAGTACTTATGTACGAATCTCAAGTCACTGATTAAATAATATATCTCCACTGGAGGGATTTGACTAATCAGAGTTAAGACGAATTATCAACAAAACTTCTGTTTGCTAACGATGGACAAATGGAATATCTGGATTAAGTGAATGTAATTTGTGCCATTGAATATAGAATTGGGCTTAAATGTCATCAATGATACCTTGTTTCGCTGTGATAGGCAGACTTTACTCTTCAAATCTTTTATCAACTCGTTCGGAAGAATTGGAGAATTCAAAATTCATGGATTTTCACCCTTTTGAGCAGGAATATTATTTGTCCGTTTATCAACATTTTTCGACAAATAAAAACTACCAATTACCACAACCAATACTCATATCAGTTTTATGGGGGTCTATACTGGTAATTTACATCATTGAGCTTGGCTTCTACTTTTTATTAATGGTATCATTTGATCTTGAAACTTGTGCATGCTATTAAGGCAAGGTTTGGTTTGGGTGGTGGATCAACTTCTAGTCTGGTTGATAAATTATCACAATCAAAAAGCAATCTTTGTAGCACAATCAATCACTGTTGATTGCGTTTGTTAGTCAGTCGGTCAACATCATGACCAATCAATCAACATTTATGCAGAATCAATCAACATCATGCATATTTAATCTACATTTATTCGCATTCAATTGGATGACAGTCCAAGTTCAGTGTCTTGGAATTTGCAAAATAAATATCTTGTATTAATTGCATTTGATAGTATTATAAAAAGATGGGTTTCGTAAAAATGTCAGCTCATCGTCAATGTTTCACTTTGTGTCTATTTTGATTCAATCTAATTCAAATCTCTCTAGATTTCAAATTCTGATCTTCAGGTATTTCTATTTAATTGAAAGTGTAGACTTCTACCCGCTCACTAGTCTTTTCTACTCTATTTTTTTATTATATTTATTATAAAAAATGACCACGCCTTATACAGGGTGACACAAAAAAGAAAGTGCCACCCACATAATGTTGCGTAACTTTTTTTGTCTCCTGGATTTCTGATTGGTGTAGGTAATTTGTTATTCTGTAATAGAGGTATTATTACTATGAATAATACATTGTCTGATATTTTATATGATAAATAATTGATTTTGTTACAAAAGAGTCGATTGTTTATCTAAGTTCAAGAGTTGTTGATAATCAGGATAATATCATCTAGGGTTTTTAAGAATGCAAATATAGAAAACTTGAAGTGGAACATTTTTGTTACCTCAAAAATAGTGTTCTACATGTACTTAAAGAGGTACATTGATTTTTATGGGTAATGTAACTTTGAAAAGTGTTCTTCTTTTATTGACTTCAACATGAACTAACAAACAAATACTTGGAAGCATAAAATTTGGTATTTGATGGAATAGATCAATCATTGTCTGTATTCTGATAGGTTCAAAGACAGTTTAAAAGTTGACAAATGGACCAAAATACTAATGGATATATATTGCTAGAAAACAACATAATCATCATTTTCAGAAACAGCTGCAGTAGCAATTACTAAGAATAATAATTATAGCTGTGTAATTTATAAATTGAGAAAGCCATTAATTTCTTCATCATGAATGTATAAATGATGCCTTTTCAAATCACTGTTGTTTTGAGTTTATAACATATATAACATACATATGTGTGTCTGAGACAGATGTATTGCCATATTAAGTTTTGCTTAACGTGCACTAAAAGGTGAATACCTCCATAGCTATGTCATCATTGAGATGAGTCAGGCATGTCAAAGCATCCCCAAGTTCCAGAAAAAAGCCAACTAGACTATAAAATAATAAATTCAATTTGAAGACAAATCGAACACATGGGACTCTTGAATATTGATCCAATTCAGTGGCAAATCCATTTTAGATCAAAACTTTTATTTGGGAATTCAATTGCCAAATTGACTTCGTTATTTAAATTGTGCTCACAAAAGCTCTAATGTTCCTGATCAAACTACTTGTGAACTAGAACTTCAAAATGTAAATGAAACTATTCAGGCTTTACAACAATTGGTTTGTTGCGTTATAGAGAACACCTGTCCCTAGTGAACACCTCTCTCTCGTAAACACCTCTCTCTCTCTCGTAAACACATGGTTTAGTGAATACCTTTCAAAACACTCTCATGCCAACTTGATCTAATGTACGCATATCTCACAAGAACACCATTTCTCAGAATATCTGTTGACTTCCACAGGGTGTCAAATAAATATATTCTCCCCCTTAATTTTAAGCTTTTTGTGCATAAAAGTGTGTCTCGTTGAACATCTACCTTGTCGAAATATTGCTTATTTTTATTAATTCAGAATCTAACGTTTATTATCGGAAGTCAATTTAATTACAGTATTTTATATCTTCCAATTTGTTCCTTAGTGACACTATCAATGAATATTTTTGACCAATCAACACTGATATGATGACATGACTTGTAAAAATGAACCCCTAAAACAGATTGAGATCATCCTTACATTGAGATATAATAGGGTCGTGGTATGATGGGAGGTTATTACCCCCTCTAGGTTTAACTCTAGATTATTGATGAGTATGGAGATCTAAATTGACATTATCTTCCCCATTGTTGTTTGCCATTGTGATTACTTGACCCATTTCTTTTATTCAATATCCTTCAATTACTCTGCAGTCTATTCAGTCGGACATTAATCTATTTGTGAAATTGAGATATAGTAGGGATTATCATGTTTTGCAATAAGCTAGAAACCACGTTGAAAATTATTTATTACAGCTTTGAATAAAAGTTGAGATTATTTTATTGTGGAGTTTATTCAACATCTTTTCAGTTTAATCGTGATAAAGTTGTATTCTGTATTGAATGGCTAACTTTGAATGTCAAGGGTATAGGATAATTGTATCAGAAGAACGGTTTTTAACTTTGTTTATTGCATTGATATTACCTTTGATACAATTTTGCCAATCACCTTGATTACATTATTTTAATTACATTTTTAACAATAAACTAGATGCGAGTAGAAATAATCTTGATTTACGTCATTAAATATTCAAAATTCAGTCAAAGTGATGTCATATTTGAAATCTACATGTAAAAGTACATCTAGAAATATGGTTTCCAAAATTGTTTATCAACTTTGAAAATTTAATTTATTTTGAAAATGTGATTTCTAGTTCGGGTTGAATCCCCATAGACCCCATGTTACAAAGTCACAAAAAGTGAAATATCATTTCTTGTAATAGACAAATATCATTTTCCTTTACTGGACATTTTTTAATTAGCATAACTATTAGATACATGAGAGTTATATGAAAATTGAACCACCAAAACAGATGTAATTTAAGTTAAAGGGAACTTTCTACTATACCCGCCATGCTATCTGACCCGAATGAGCCACCTGGTGGTGAAATTGGTAACTACCTACTCGCATCTGCGTTATTAATAGTGAATGTTGTGATTGTTATATATCTTAATAACAAGATGGTGACATTTTGTCATCTTAATGCCTTGTTTACTTTGTTTATTTCATTGATATATATCCTTTGATACAATTATTCCAATCACCTTGATTACATTATTTTACATTTGGGAGAATGTTGGGAGATTGTTATACAGTAAAAACCTGTGTAAAGTGAACACCTACAGAGCCACAAAATGTGTTCACTGTAGGTAGGTGTTCACTACAGAGAGACAACTTACGTAGTACTCAATGGAGTATGTGCAAAGAAGAGATGTTCTCTACACACAGGTGTTCACTAGAGAGAGGTGTTCACTCAGACAGGTTTTACTGAGTTTGTAGATAGATTCTAAGGCTGAAAATCTAAATATTTTTCCTCCTGATCATATTGTTTTCATGTATTTTCTGTTTATACATAGCCTCCCTTGACAAAATGTACTTTTTCATGTTGTTGCTTATTGCATGCTCTAGTGTGATTTCTGTCTGATATAGGGTGTGGTTGACATTCTGGCTGACATTATGTGAATGATGCATATTGCTGATTTCATGCTATCATAGCATGACTTCTATTAGGGTGTGGTAACAATGTTAATATGAATATAATAATAGATAATTGAATAGCAGCAAACGAGTCAACCATACCTCACATTATAATCACCATCTTCTCATACTTATGCCAGATACTTTGAATCTCAGATTCTACTCAATTAACGAAGTTCTCTTTTAAGTGGTGAAGTCAAATGGATGCAAATTGATAGACGTATCATATCTAAAGGCAGAAAATAAATTGTGGTGCAGCAATTTGCTTCTCAAAAGAGAGCTTCGTCTTCACTCTTTCAGTTTTCAATAAATCTCTGAACTCACCATGCTAACCAGAGTTCAGCGTTGAAATAAGGATGACTTTCTATATGGTCATTTTCTCTGACGTAATCGCAAAATTAATGTGCATGCATTTAGAACTTGTTCCTTCCACCTCGCTAATTGTTTGAGAAAAGGTCAGCGTGGTAGGTGTGAAATGGTTTTTGACCTGAGCTGTCACGGGCATCAGTCGTAGCTGCTAAACTGTAATATAGTCTATACTCGGCAGAGGGTAGTTTATAACTAGACTGCACGCAGGGTAATAATAATATGATCTTGGGGAGGAGTTATTACAATAAAAAGAAATCCCATGTTGCAATTGTTTGCCCTTGTACAATATAGCTATATATGATAATTGCATAGTATTGGATTTCTACGCCAGGATATACGCTACTAGAGTTGAGATGAGCATTGATTTGCAAATTGTGTATCAAGGCATGGGAATGCCATTTCCCCTCTTTTTAGTCTAGATAATAGCAGTTACATAGACTATAAATAGTGGAGTGACTTATTCCCTATATATTAAGGTGGGATGTGTAGGACAAATCAAGGCCTGCTTGCATAAGGTGTTAGTATACAATTCTATGTATGTGTATGTAAAAGGTTTGACTTAATTAGCCAGATTTTACTCTTATCATCCTCCTCTTGGGTAATATGCAGATTTCTAGCAATTAGAGATTTTTCTGGGATTATTAACAAGTACAGGAATAGCTCTCTCTGTAGGCTGCAATTCTTCAAGTTCATTACTTGATATGAGGGGTGTTCAATGAGTAATAGATTATTTTTAAACAAACTCAATTTCTGACTTCCCCCCTCATTTTGGAGACACAATTCACTGGTGTTTGCACATAGCTCGGGACCTTTGAAATTCATTATTAAAAACCATTAACAAATATTACCTGATTCACATTATAATCATCTTCGCACGCTCGGTCTTCTGGCTGATGGGAGTCGAGTGAACGATGGCTGATGGGAGTCGAGTGAACGAAGATAATTACAATTTTGAAACACATTTATCTAGAAAGGTAGCAGAAATCGTTAATCCTTTTAACCTAAATCAAGCACAGCTCTCAACAATTTGCTACCTGAGTAGGTAAACACTGAGAGTGTTGTAATAAGTGACGATGTAATTCTGTTATTTGCATATAGTATCTGAGATAGAGTTTTAGTCAATGTAATGAAAAACCAATGTAAAAATTGTGTACCCTCCCATAGGAGCAACCCTTCTGGTTAGTCCCAAGTTATAAGTGGGGCTCATGCCCCTGCCCCTCTTGTATCTACTGCCACAGATTTTTAACCTTATGCCATGCAAGGTATTTCACACAAAAGTCTAAAGGCAGGGTGGATCTCATCCTCCTCAGCAGGTGTCCAGAATCCATACCTCCTTCTTCCCCCTGCTATAACCAATTTGGAAGCACCTGATTTAACTGAATCACGTGACTCTAATTATGCGCAATGGTGACATGTGATTTCTGTCGGAGGGTTGCGACAGCCAATCAGATTGCGAATTCTTAATCGGGGAAATGGTAACTGCTTATCGCAGGGGGTAAAAAGAAAGAATATGTTCTGGATTTTGAAGCCCTGTGATCGGAGGATGGGTGGATCTCAATTAAACATTTATTTGACTACTATCTAGTAATCTGTGTTCCTTCAATATGTTTCAGGAGCTGCCTTACTACAGATTGCTGAGGTCCAAAGAGAGATTAACACACAGTCGCTTGATATGGTAAGTCCCCCAATAAAGTATTCTTAATATTGATATTGAGCTGGATATAATATGTCCTTCTAATAATGTAGGTCCTTTAGTAAATTCCTTATAATGTTTTGGAAATCCCATCAATATGTTTAGTCTCTCAACAAAGCCCCAATATTATAAATCTCTAGTAAAGTCTCTCAAAAGTAAAGTCCCTTTATTATAAATCTCTAGTAAAGTCTCTCAAAAGTAAAGTCCCTATATTATAAATCTCTAGTAAAGTCTCTCAAAAGTAAAGACCCTATATTATATTATAATTCTATAGTAAAGTCTCTCAAAAGTAAAGTCCCTATATTATAAATCTCTAGTAAAGTCTCTCAAAATAAAGACCCTATATTATAAATCTCTAGTAAAGTCTCTCAAAAGTAAAGTTCCTATATTATAAATCTCTAGTAAAGTCTCTCAAAAGTAAAGTCCTTGTATTATAAATCTCCAGTAAAGTCTCTCAAACGTTGTCAGAGTCCCTATATTATAAATCTGTAACAAAGTCTCTCAAAAGAAGTCTCATAAAGTCCTCTTCATTTTGAAGTCTCCTTAATATATAGAGTTAGTTTCTAAATATAGAGTGGATCTAGATCCTAAGTCTAAATATAGAGAATTCCCCAGAATTAGTGCAACTGGGTTCTACATACTATTAGAAATCTGAAAATTACAATTCCATCAGCTTAAAATCTCCACATATCGCAAAAAAAGATGAAATAAGAAAAAATAGGATTTGTTCATAGAGAAAAAATCACAATCTCTGAAATACCATTGCATACTTGGTATTAGCTGCTGCTGATTGATTGATGAACATTGATGCTTTGGGAACCGTGATCTGGGAAATAACTTAGTAATCTAATAGAATTTGTTTCGAGTAACTGTTTTCCAATTTTATCAATCAGTTAATTGCCTAATTCACTTTAATATTGTTTTGCCAGTATAGCAATTTTGAGGAAATGTGATTTGCAATTATTTGGAATTGGTTTTTTATCCAAACTTAGTCTAGTGTGCAAGCATAATGCTGACTCATGTGGTGATAAAGACAATTTATTTGACAACAATGAATGAAATTGGTGTTTTTCCTGTTCATAAAATATTCTGGTGGCTCTGTATTTTCTTTCTTTGTAACATGCCTGGTGATATTTTAAGCCATAATGAGAGAATATACAATTTTATAGCTAAATTATGTCAAACCAATTTGGATAAACCAAATTAATAAAAATCAATTAGATTATGTATTTTATCCAGATTTGTTCATCAGGATGTTCCAGGCCATAGGTGATTTCCCATAATGCATCAGCTGTCCATCTGCTCATGTTTATTTCACTCAATTCCCCCTAATATCTGAATAAAGTGAATAATTTTCTGACATTTCTATATAATTTAGAGTAATAACTGCATGGCTGTACTATTATTTTTTGCTGATTCCACTCTTTTCTACTGAATTTTGGTTTTCAAATATGACAGTTAAGATATTTTGTTGGAAGGCCAAGGGTATGTGTAATAAAATGAACTGACCATTCAGCCTATATTGCATTTTCCTGATTGATCAAAGCCCAAATATATATGCATCAATGACCAATTTTGTAATTTGCTTCAAAGAAACACTTCAATAATGATACTGCCAAGGAAGATTATTGGATCAAAGTTTGTTTGGTTGATTGACTGGTTGATTGGTCAACAATTGTTGCTTGGTTGGTTGGTAGCCACAACAATTATATTCCTTTGTCTTGTCTTGGAGACTGTTTCCTCAAGGAGAAGTCTCTCAGCTCCCTGCCACCCCCTTCTCCCCTCACTATTTATATGGAATCAGGTACGAATAAAGTCAACTTTAAATCTAAAATCATCAAACTAAAGTATGCCATTTACATAATATTTGTCTGTTCAGATATGTTCTGCAGTGTTCCACAGTAATGTTTTTGATCTATTAATCCACCCCCATGCCAACTTCATACTATTTATACACTTTCTCTTATTGCTTTTCTCTTTGATATGCAGATTCAATGAATATTTTTATTTGTCACGTATTAAGCAAATATTTCATTCTATGCAGGGCGATACCTGTTCATCTTTAATCAATGATTTTTGCAGAATGTATTGCTTGTAATGTTCGTCTTTTTATAATCAAAAAATCCTAGCAATGATATAATTATTTGAAATATTTCCATGGAGTAGGAGATCAGGCTGGTAGCTAGTAAAACCCAAGTACTAGTATTAGAAACTAACTTTTGGAGTTTCAGACCTAACTCCCTTCTCCATTTACATGTATATCTCCCCCAGTTTGGAGAATATGATATATTGATCTATGACCAGCTGCTAGCATTTTTGTGTTAGCCTGAAACAATTAATTAAAAGTATGGTCACAGCAACCTACTGGTAGTTTCTTAGGAATATTTTCCATCGCAAAATTCAGATTTGTTGTTTGGTAATAAAAGTCACTTTTTGTCACTATTTCAGAGAATATCTAGGATTATATTGTAGTCCAATAACATCCTTGTTTAGTCTATGGTAAAGTTAAAAAAGTTTAGTTATTGCGCGATGGTAATGAAGTACAAGCTAAAGTACAAGTCCCCGTTCCGAAAAACTTGATGTATTTTGAGGGCAGTAGACATAGCATGATTTGATATTTCTACTCAACCTTTATTTTGAATACATAAATTCTTACCATCTAGAATTACAAAACCATAACCACAAATATTGTATATCTCTTGAGACTGTTGTTTTATTTTATGTGCATCAAAATATTTATTTTTGTTTTTTTCCAGATCAAGTCATTCCATGCAGAATTACTAATTCCATTAGAGAGCAAACAAGACAGTGAATTGAAACAAATAAATGTAAGTCATGTGACAAATTTATTATATGTGCTGACTTTATAACTGGATAACCTTTTGATTTTAAGATATTCTGGCAAAAAATTGAAAAAGTGTGATTTTAATATTATCAGGATTGATTTATAGAAATGTCACATTTCTGCATTATACCAAGTGAGACCATCAATTCTCAATGTATGGATTGATACAATGTCACGGTACCCTAACTAGCATCTTACAGTGAGCAGCTGCGTTGATCTGCTTTTCTTTTTTGCTGTTGTATGTTTTGAAATGAGATAACGGATTAACATTTAATATAAAAGAGGAGGCCAAGGATTTAGGGTCATTTGGTGCTGATTGTATAAACTGTTCACCTCCACCAAGTACTCTTTAAAATGTGTAATTTCCTCTACTCTCTGAGTTGAAGATACTCTTTTGAACTAACTTTATACACTCCGAATAGTGTTTATCAAACCCAGCTACCCAATCAAAATAGCAGTCACTAACTAAATCATAAACTTAAATAAGAACCTGGCATTTATATATTGAAAAGTTAAAAGAATAAAAGTTCTTTTAGGAACATTTTGGTATAATCAAAATTAAAACTGAACACATTACAGAGAAACCTGTGAAATCGAACACTTCTAGAAGTAGAACACCTGTGTTAGTGGAATACTTTTCAGAGTCCCTAATACCAGCTGACTATAGTGTTACCTCTTTAAGTGTAACACATCCCAAGTGAAACACTTTAAGAGGTACCAAAGGTGTTCTACTATAACAGGGTTTACTGTAAATAGTTCTCTTATTTAGAGTCTAAATACTCGACTCTGGTACAAAGGGTACCTATACATCCACCCACCTCCATATATTTTCAAGCATTTATAGCTTTAATACACAATGAAGCAATGCATACTCATGTTGGTATTAATTCACTTTTCCTGCATGTTTACAGTGCATTATTAATATTGGTAATAATAATATATCAATTTGATTAGTGCTAATATGTCAGGTCATGATCAAACAGATTTGCGACATCTAGTGTAATGGCATGTCATTCATCTCGCTCAGTATTTTCTAGTCCAATTCACATAGTAAATATTGAAGGCTTGGAGTAACTGTAAAACTTTATGGTAACTAGTTCTCTTTCAGATATTGTAGAAGCCATGATGGTAACATTTGAAAGGACGATTCTCGGTTTGGAGAACGAAGTTCATCAATCTAAATGAGCATTATCCCTGCTTCGGACAAATTTGATTTTTTTACATAATATGGATTTGAATGACTTCTTTTGAATAGTCATAATTTAATTTGGGTAATATTTCTAGATTTTTCGCAAAAAAATATTAGCGCAGTACACTGATGAACTTCTTACCCCAAATCGAGCCTTGTATTTTATTGAATCGGTCTAATTGAGCGTTATCCCTGCTTCAGACCAATTTGTTATTTTTACATCTTGTAGATTTAAATGTCCTCTTTTGAATATTCATGGTTTAATTTGGGTAATATTTCTATATTTTTCATGAAAAAATTATTAGCCCAGGAGACTTTTCTCCAAACCGAGAATCGTCCTTTTGTAAGAAGCATATTTCAAGTGCAATTATGGTATTACACAATTGTACTCCCTTTTCTAACAACCCCCTTTCCCCCTCCCCTTCCTCAAAACAATTGATTAACTAGAAAATAATTATGTTCGTTAAGATAATAAACTATTTAAAAAGCGTATTATTCCATTTTCAGTTGCAGTACAAGAAGTACTTACAAGGGAGAAAGATATTCTGCAGTCCATATGAAAAAGCTCAATCAAATTTGAAAAAATACAGAAAGAAAATTGCAAAGACCAAGATGGGGTTTGATCCCAAAGAAATGCAGGTAACCTTTTCTCCCATTTTTTTTTACCGAAAATGTTTATATCCTATCATTTCCTGAGGGAGAAACTTCTCGGACAGGTAAAAAATTTCACGGAGAGAATATGTGTATAGGCAAATGAGATAAATGTAACTGTTGTTCATCTGTTAATACTTTTAACTTAAATTGAATGTATTCAATTAATTATGAACAAGTTTTGAATAAAAGAATTATTCATGACTTTGCACAAGTGTTAATTTTAAATGCCATGGAATAAATATATGTTATTCAGTCAGTATATCTCAGTAAATTATCCCTAATATGATCTTGGATTGATTTCAATACATGTATAGTATACCATATATGTTCTGTCATATGGTATTTATTATAGTACACATACCGGATTTTCTCGCATATACGCCCCCTAAATTTAGGCCCATGGGCCAAAAATCGAATGTAGTACGCTTATACGCCCATGGGCCTATAAAAAATGACTATTTATTGATTTTTTCAATAAATTCAAGAGTATTTTGTCACTGGCAGATCGTTCTGTTGTTACTTTGTTTCAACATTAAGTTCAACGCTGTACGCTGTACCGTAAGTGGCAGTGGTGGATCGTTCTGTTGTTACTTTCAACATTAAGTCCAAGTAGATGACATTTCCTTTATAATTCTTACAAAACATGCGGTAGGACTACAATAGTAGGTATGGTAGTCTCTCTTTTTTCAAATTAATACAAAAATTAACTTTTTTTCATTTTATCACATTTTTTAATTTATTTTTCTAATTTTTTTTCAAAATTTTTTTTTCAAGTTTTTTTACAATTTTTTTTGCGGGAAGATATGCACTGTAGCGGGAGAGGCATCGGCATATTAAATTTGGAGAAAATCCATTGACTGCTATATGAGTTATCGAAGATTTCATTTTTCACCTACATTCGGTAGGATAATAAAACATTTTCAAGACTGCTAATTTTATTCCAAAATTCAATTTTGTTGCCTCATATTTTCATCCTTTGAAATTTTATGATATCAGTTTTTCAGTGTGCATTGTTTCTAAAAATCCTTTATTCATACCTTGCTAGCTTTCTTCTCACAAGTCTGGCATGGATTACACTTCTTACATGTCCCAGGGTCATCAGGCTCATCCAGCCCACCAGTCATTCTCCACTAGGGCAACAGCCTCTACTAGACCAACAGTCTGTTCATCTAGGAATCCAGGGCTTGCGTCACCATCAGTCTAGAATATAAAAAATTAAGTTTCATATTATCCTAGTACATTGAGGCAATCAACAACTCTGATAAATAACATATTTTTTCACATTAATCACGGAGTTCAATATCTGATTATACTCAAAGGAAATGTGAAAAAAGACTAGAAAATGTACCATGGTACCTCTCAGATGATACAATCATTATATTATTGTATTATTTTTAAAATTTCATTTTGAACATTGTATCATTTAGTATGTAGCTACACATAGGAAAATGGATGATACCTTTTGGGCTCCCTTATGTTACAAACACTTACCTCAATATCTGGTCCGTATTCATCAGCAACTGTTGTTCTGGGTGATTCTGTATCTTCATGCTAAAAGGCAGAAAAGCAAATGCTATACTGGTATGCATGCATGTAAATGTATACAGTATAAATAAATAATACTTTCAACGACTATTCATATAACTTTCCTGACACTTGGATTTGCCTATGTGTACAACTTCTACAAACTTCAGCTTCAAATGAATTTGTCATTTTTTAATTTTTATCCAACAAGTGAACAACACTTTTGCAAAAGGCATAAAATGGCCTCGTAGGTCTCGTGACAATTATAAAGGCGGAACAGAATCAGTATCTCTAAGATATGACTGAATTACTTACTGGTCTTATTTCTCGCACAATCCTAGAGGTTTTTGCAGGAATGGAAAACTGTGTTGAAGTAATGTCAGCAATGACCTACAAAAGAATAGCATATATGTAAATCTATTCATCTAAAGACACGAAAGAATACTTGTTGTCATCGAGGAATACTAATACAAAAGGTAAAATCTATCATCTGATGATGAAATCCATTTTACTTTTGGGCCTTTCAAAGGATCAACATGCAACCAACCAACTTTCAATCATGGTTTTATATCTGATCTAATCAAGCATTTACTAGAGACATTACATACTGAGAAATTCACTGAAAACTCATAAGAACTCATGAATTGTGTTGGTAGATCTAAATATTCATATTGAAAATAAAAAAAGAATTTGATTCAGAAACTGAAAAAAAAAATTTGAAAAAATGGTTTCCTGTAGTATTTGTCCACATTCGATCGTCTTGCAAGCAAATATATTAAAACAGAATGAAACTATGGTAAACATGTTGCGTGTTCATCTATTAAACACTTTATTCTGACCTGTACTAAGGCTGTAGATCGGTGATTATTTGAAGATTATTCAGTTCGATTTTTGAACTCGAGAAAAGTTGTTACTCGTTAGAAAATATAAACTTTGGAAGATAAAGGGATAGACCTACTGAGTATCAGTCGGTTTGAGAAAGAACAAAGACAGAGCTTGTAAGTTATGAGTAATGTTTTTTATTTCAGATAGATTTATTTCAGAAATTACATGCAAAAGAAAGAACGGCTCGCCTGGACAACTAAATTTTTAGCCGGCCAAATGGCCGCCATCTTGTCTGAAGAGTGCATACCCGTTTTTGTTGTCTTTTCACTGCCCGTCGTTCTCTTCCTTCATCGACTGGCTTTGATGATTTATGAGAGAATATTGTGGGGATAGCATCGGGCTTAAGTTGCCGAGGTTTGGATGATGTAAATCCAATGAGTGTTGAGATATCAGTTTGAAAACAATCTGGGGAAAAGTGTACTGAACAAAGAATTTTATTTGCGGATCCGGAATTCCTAAAAGTTTCTACAGTCCAACCTCTTCCAATATTTGTCAACCAGGCCCGTATGATGTGTTTTTTTGATGGGTACTTTATAATGTCGGGTATCTTGTGGAAACTGATCCCAGGCGGCCTTTTCTTTAGGCTGTTGTGGCAATTTACTGCTGCACATATAGGCATCTTTTCTTTGTTTTCCAATAATGGCTACTGTGGTAAGAGAGTCGATGACGTCAAATTCCGGCGAAATCCCGTTCTCGCGAGAGTCAATGGCAGACAGCCTGGCATGGGCGATATTCATGTGGAGTTGATCTTTGAGTTAATAATATAACAAAACAACAAGATGTCAACCTTCAAATCGTTTATTATTGTAATAAATGTATACTAAAGTAAATATATTCAACAGCACAGCCCTCCAGGGGGAATACTCCTTTAAGCCCACTGGGCCAAAAATTTAAAGCAGTACACTTATACGCCCATGGGCGAAAAATAAGAGGTAAAATAACAGACGAAATTACCCCTTCTTTCAGTTATACGCCCAGGGCTTATATGCGAGAAAATCCGGTAGTTCATCTGCTTATGGAAATTCATTCCATTCTCTCCAAAATTTGAATAAAGTGTCTGATTTTCTTGCATTTTTATACAATTTAGAGTAATAATTACAAGTCTATTTATTCTTTCCTCTCAGATTTCACCCTTTTCCACTCTATTTTGCTTTTTTAAATACAACCCAATGACATTATATGCATGGGTGAAATGATAGCCATGAAACAATAATTTGTTGCTTGCTATTAAATCACGTAACCATGGTAACCCCATGTAGGTAATGTAAATTTTATGTTATTATGGTGACACTCTACTTATTAAGAAAATAACAAAATGGTTGCGCAAAAAATCTAAAATGGTGAAAAAAGCGATAAAATCCTTCCATTTGACAATATACTGGATAGAGTCGGTACAAAATATTAAATAATCTCAAAAACAAAAAAAGTGTTATTATAGACTTATTATATATTGTTCTGCATCATGTATTGATTATGTTTTGTAATGAAGAAATGATGCCCTGGGACCGTTTTGAGCGCAGGTGTTCACATATGTGTACTTGTATATGATGAGCCTTAATATTCCTAATCGATCTACATGTGAATTTGTTGCATAATTTGTCGCTCGGTGCTTATTTTATGGTATTGCGGATTTTAAAGCCTCTTCTGATTGTTTTTAGAAGCAAATGGGGTCTAATAATTTCAGAATAATTTATAGGTTAAAGTAGACATTATATGATGATTTGAATTTGTTTTTTGCTGAGATTATAGTTTTTTTTGTTTGTTTTTTATTCCTTTTTATTAATAGAAAAACATTTGAAAGCAGTTACATTAACATATACAATATACACAATATCATTGAAGTCACACAATTTCCTAATCTAATCTAGTACCCATAATTTCCCACCTTTTTTCGCTGCCTATTTGCTTATCAATATTACAATAAGATATTACATTTGCTTTAAATCCTTTAAAGGTAGGTTTTAACATCGAGTATTTGCATATACACATATCTTTTAAATTTACTCCACATATTTGTCAGGATAATTGTTCTGTCATTTATACATACTGGTCCTATTAAAATATTCTGTTTTGAGATAACGGCTAGCCAATGCACTCATCGGCTTATTTCATCCTGAATTTTGATTGTTTTTCACTATGTAACTGTGGTAATAACAAAATGAGCATGACAAATCATAATCAAAACATTTCTATGAATATTCTGAACATAATATTTACATCCAAATATGAATACAGGTGAATCTACTCAACTCAAAAACATTTCCAAGAAGCGGTTTATCAATATTCAAATTTTTATTCTATTTTTTACGGCATTGTCTTTTACAATTCAACACTTAAATTCCCGGTATGGGATGATATATTATTACATGAATCTTAATTCCTAATCCATAAAACATTTTGATAAAGTATTTGATAAAAACATAGGCATTTTAGAGAAATACCACAAAAACATTTTCTCCATGCTGTTTCGTGAAAATGTCTTAAATTCTGTTTCCAGATTTAAAATTGTTTAAATGAAAAGACCATTAAGTACAGTTAATGAGATTCTTAATTTATAAGATTTCTATGAAACATCCTCCTGATTGTATTGTGAGTACTTCATCAGAATATTTAGATCAAAATATAAACAGGCTAATATACCTTTTAAAGCTTCATGAATCTTTTCATTTATATTTCCGTGAAATCACACAATATCGTATACATCAAAATAGTGACATCAAAAGTGTGACATTTATTAGGAATAAAATGTACTTAGTGAACCAGCAGAGTGTTAATGAAAGTTTATAAACAAATACTAGCAGTAATAGTTTTGAGGCAAAGTATCAATTTGCAAAATATATTAATATCCTAGACTATTGTAGAAACGGTCATCATGTCTCTGAAACATTCCTGTAAAACCATGAATCAATATGTGTATCCGAGATATTAAGAAACCATTGATTCAGAATATTTTCATCCAGTAAGGTGACATTGTTTTTACATCATTATGAAAAAGTGTTATTTTGATGTCATCTTTTGCTGCAGTCATCTTCAAAATTCCAGGAAAACTTCTGATTCATTCAACTCGAATTTTTTACAGATGCAAGAGTAGATTAGTGCCTAGATCCGATTAGCTTTTGGGCATGCTGGGTAAATTACATTTTGGATATGGATAATTTGCTCTTCAAAAGTGTGATGTTTAAAAAAAGGACCGTTTGAGGGTTGACTCCATATTATTATGGTACTTATTTGATACCCAAATATGGCATTTCCATCCTATTAATGGTACTTATTTGACAACCATATATGGCATTTTCATCCTATTAATGGTACTTATTTGACACCCATATATGGCATTTTCATTTATATTTCCAGTTACTTAGAACTAGCAATGAATACCAGGCTAAGTTGGAAGAGTATCAAAGGTCAAGTCTGAGACAGGTTGGTGATCTTTTCTATATACTTTCTAAGCACTGTGAGAGTGAATAACAGTGCACAAGAATTACAAGAGAATTCCAGTTTCATGAGAAATCTGACAATTCAAGCTACTTGGACCTAGGTTAAAGTGTTTGGAATGTTCACAGTTCGTCGAACAATGCTTTCTCTGGCATGAAGAGGTGTTTATATTAGAGAGATGTTCGGATAAACACATTTTACTGTATATAGATTATTAGGCCACACAAACTAGAATTCAATGTGAATGAGGATGGTCATTATGAAACACCCTATGGCTTATAACCTGTACCTCTGCATTAGAACAACCCCATCTATTGATGGTTTTACTGAAAACTTTATATATTTCAGGCTCTATTAGAGGACCATTCAAGACACTGTTTCTTGCTGGACAAGTTGTGTGTCATGGTGCGAAACTATGCCTCTTACCATAATAAGGTAGGTATAGAGAGTAGTCGGGATTTGCCAAAGGGGGTTCACTTTCTAAAAATTTCCAGGGGAGTTCACTTGAAATGTGCTCTGAATGGGGAAAAACTGCATGATTTTGTAAGATTTTTTTGCCAGGGGGATTTGCTTGAACCCCAGAAACTCCCATGTCTATGGGTCTGTGGTGCAGTAAATTGTTGTGGAATCACGTTATTGATGCAATGAGGGTCTCAAATAATCACGTCAACTCCAACTTACTGAATTCTGTTTTATGGTGCTCTAGCGGACATTAGTTTCAATTATTTAAGATGCTTCAAGAGAAAAAAATAGTTGATAAGTGTCATGCTGAATAAGGAGAAATGAAGCTGGTGAAAGAACCATGTAACAATATAATTCAACATAATAGGTCTTCTTTGGCAAATTAAAGAATTACTAAACTGTTTCGGGGGTGAATTTGATCCATTTTTAAAAAATAAAGTTTTTCGATTTTTTTGCTCAATTTTTTCATAATCTGGTAGCCTCCAATTTTGCGCCACGATCTGATGAAAGAATGGAAGGAGAGCAGCCAATTTCTGTTATAAAATTGTTTATTAGGAGACTATATATATTATCAATGTTAATTCTTTTTATTCCAGGCTCATGAATTGTTAACCCATAGACTGCCAGAGTGGGGAGAACTATGTAAGCAGCCAAATGTTCTCCCTGAAGGCACAGAAGCTCTGCTACGAGAATATGCAGGAAGTCATCATCACTCTAACTCAGTAAGTCAAACATGAGGCTTTAATATTAGTGTTTCACTCTAACTCAGTAAGTCAAATATGAGGCTTTAATATTAGTGTTTCACTCAAACTCTGAAAGTTAAATATGAGCCTTTAATATATGTGTTTCATTCTAACTCAGTATGTCAAATATGAGGCTTTAATATTTGTGTTTCACCCTAACTCAGTATGTCAAATATGAGGCTTTAATTATCTCACCTAACGAACATCATTATCATTGTCAATACCTGAAATAAAGAATTCAGGTTACGCAAATAAAGATTTTGATTTTGAAACAATTTAGTCATACCCAATGATTTATGAATATTTTAATCATTAAAGATTTCGAAACATAAATCAAACATAAAATATACAAAGAGAGATTTTTAACTATAATCCTAATAATAAACAGATTAACAAATTCAAATTAACTATATCTGTTCTTTCCCAGTTCATAATCTACAAACGAGAGAGTTGATGGCATTTTTGAAATTATTAATTGCTTGAGTTCTATTTCTTGAGTATTACTCCAAAGAAAATCATAGTAAATGCTGAAGAATTAAATTCTATGGTGATTTAGTTTATTAAGGTAAGACAAGCTGAATTAATTTATTATTGCTTAACTTTTAACTTTCTGCCTAGGGTCTGTCCCAATAAAGGTTTATTAACTCATTCGCTACTAAGGACGTGATATGACGTCATAAAGCACATACGTTGACTACTAAGGATAGTGATATCAAGTCCAAGCACAAACCCAATGTATTTTTGGGGGAATCTTGTAACCATGACAACTTATAAAATGGGACTTAAAAAACTATTCATTCTGAACGAGTATGTCATATGCTTTAAAATGCTATATAACACTATATATGTATGCCCATGTATATACAATATATATTATTTCAGAGGTACCATATATGGCAATTTTGAAAATATCGTCAGTATTATAGTGCTTTTTGCCCCAGTATTGAATGAGTTAAGTTTTATAGCCTTGTCTTTCATTGAAGTCACGTTTTGATGTGATTTTCAGAAAAACTGCATATCAAGCCATAAGACATAGTTCTGTTTCTATCTACTTGTTGACCCATTTCAAATCTGTTCATAATTTATTCACAATTTCCCAAAACTTTTACATTTTCTGAAAAACGTCGGCCTAGAAATAGATGTTGCTTGAATTCTTAGTGGAATTAGGTTAGAGGATTAACAGAAACTGTATCTACTTATTAGCTCTTCACAGAATCTCAATTGCAATCTTTAAGTGCAAAATTATTTTTATATGCCACTTAGTTATTCTTGAGTGTATTCACTTTCATGCTACTTATAAATAAAACATTTCATATCATAACTACTGACTAATGGTTAATGAGAATTAGATTTGAGTTACAATTTATGAGATTTGTTATGCTATATCCTGTATTTCAATCTCTATTTCTAGAAAGTATTAGAATTGATACATATCATTATTAAGATTGCAAGCTCCCACGATTGTAATGTAAATCTATATGTTAAGGCCACTTAAGGACACTTCAGAATCTCCCTTTCTAATAGTTTGTTTTCACATTTAAAAGAGAGCTTCGTCTACACTCTTTGAATTAGAGATTATCCATTGATTTTGCTTCACCCCATCAGATTTTGATTATAAGGGTCATCAAATCCACCAACCCAATCAAAATACAGGTAGCCTAGCATATACTGAATTTTATACTTATACGTACCATGCATTTATTTTATATTGAAAGTCTATGCCTTCCCTTATGGGGTCATTTTGATCATATTACAATCATATTGTTTACCCTATTCAGGTCCCATTTGTATTGTATTTTGCTTACCAACAATGAAGGTGAGCAATACCTATTATGGGTATATCCCGAACATATACGGTCAAAATTAATGCATGTAATCATGGAAAGCAGACCCAGAACCCCTCGGTTGAAGACCACAGTAGAGTTTCCCATAGGTGGCCATTATAACATTTTACCCTGTATCTTATTAACGATTAGTATCCAAGCCTTGTGCAACATACCACAGTGTTCGGGAGAGACTCGCCTAGACTGCTATAACAATCTTACCATGGGTTGTCCACCGAATTTTTGAGATAAATAAACTTGAAGACACTAACCCCCTCTATCGTCAGATTTCTCAGAGAATTCTGGTAAAATCACCAAGGTCAAAATCACTCCGCCGCCAGCTTAAAATGAGATTTCCCACTGAACTTTGGCATGTTTTCAGATAAATCAGGACCTACCTTATAAATATTTAGTCCCAATTCACTTCCCAAACGCCAAATGGCGCTCCAATGGGGTAGGAAAGGAGAAAAATGACATTTTATACAGAAAACCAAATCACTAACGGTAACCGCTAGTGTCCTTACTCAGGACTATATCCTAATAGTAAACTGAATTAGTTTGTTTTCTTTCAACATGGTTATATTAGCATTGTAGGCATTATCCCGATCACAATGGTATATAACAATGCTATATTTGAGAAAATGCACGGGGGAAGATTCAATCCTTATAGACACAGGTCCTTTTAGCAAAATTCAGGAAATTTGATTTTGAGATTTCTTGAAATTTCTTTGGGGTAGGGGTGCACCTTACAGTTTGCATCACAGATTGAGTACACCCAACTGAGGGGAACATGGCCATATGGGGTATCATTGGAAAGCGATTTCTACTATCTTTTGAGTGATATCCATGTCAAGGCGTTCAATTGCATATTATGACGTCATAACGTTAGGGAGAAACAAAGGTTCATTCAAAACTGCCCAGAAGACAATTGAATGGCACGGGAGAATGGAATTCGGGGTACTTGGCACAATGGCCTCGCCCCCAAAACACTAAAGTTGCTTCAAAATGTCACGATTTTGGTACCATTGTTCAGCTAAGATACAGTCCTTTAATATGATATGAGCTATTAGGCTTCTTAATGAACTTAAAAACCTCAAAAGGGGACAAAACCTACAAAATACCCCAAAAATGCGCCTTCTAATAGGTTGAAGACCACAGTAGAGTTTCCCATAGGTGGCCATTATAACATTTTACCCTGTATCTTATTAACGATTAGTATCCAAGCCTAGTGCAACATACCACAGTGTTCGGGAGAGACTCGCCTAGACTGCTATAACAATCTTACCATGGGTTGTCCACCGAATTTTTGAGATAAATAAACTTGAAGACACTAACCCCCTCTATCGTCAGATTTCTCAGAGAATTCTGGTAAAATCACCAAGGTCAAAATCACTCCGCCGCCAGCTTAAAATGAGATTTCCCACTGAACTTTGGCATGTTTTCAGATAAATCAGGACCTACCTTATAAATATTTAGTCCCAATTCACTTCCCAAACGCCAAATGGCGCTCCAATGGGGTAGGAAAGGAGAAAAATGACTTTTTATACAGAAAACCAAATCACTAACGGTAACCGCTAGTGTCCTTACTCAGGACTATATCCTAATAGGTTGAAGACCACAGTAGAGTTTCCCATAGGTGGCCATTATAACATTTTACCCTGTATCTTATTAACGATTAGTATCCAAGCCTAGTGCAACATACCACAGTGTTCGGGAGAGACTCGCCTAGACTGCTATAACAATCTTACCATGGGTTGTCCACCGAATTTTTGAGATAAATAAACTTGAAGACACTAACCCCCTCTATCGTCAGATTTCTCAGAGAATTCTGGTAAAATCACCAAGGTCAAAATCACTCCGCCGCCAGCTTAAAATGAGATTTCCCACTGAACTTTGGCATGTTTTCAGATAAATCAGGACCTACCTTATAAATATTTAGTCCCAATTCACTTCCCAAACGCCAAATGGCGCTCCAATGGGGTAGGAAAGGAGAAAAACGACTTTTTATACAGAAAACCAAATCACTAACGGTAACCGCTAGTGTCCTTACTCAGGACTATATCCCTCCTTGAAGAAGCCCTGTGTTCTTTTATGTGCACTCATACATAGTCATACAAGTAAACACCACCGCCTTTAACGAATTGTGGACCACTCAGTCAAACATCCTGAAGTACTGTACGGAAACAGGGACAATTTAAGTATTGCCTGGTCTTGGGATTGGATCCGGGACCTATTGCGTAAGAAGTACACACATTACCGCTGCGCTATATTGGTGGATATTGATATTTTTGGCCAGGCTATGAATTTCTATTATTCAATTTAATTGTGATCTTATTCACTCCTCTACCCCCCACCCCTCACCCCAACCCACTTAGTGTCAATTGTCATCATTCAATAGCATTGGGATCTAGTCAGTCAATCAGTTTTTGTGTGGGAGATCTAAAGCTATCTGACACACCCTGTTGATATACTCCCTTGTTGGTGAATCAGTTAATAATAACAATCACAAATGTGTTACTATGGCAACTGCCTCTATTTACATGTTTTCACCTGACAGATGCTGTCAATATGAATGGCTGTATCTAAGTTTCTATTGGTGTTATTATCAAATACATGAATAACAGTGATATACAGATCATATACTGAAGAGTGGTATACACTAACATTGAAACATAGCATAAACAGCTTTTTCCTGTGCGCCTTGACCACAAGAAACTCCATGTTACACAAACCATCATATAAATCTCTTTCATATACAATTCATCATATATAATTCATCACATACAATTCATCATGTACAATTTATCATATAATTCTCCATCATATGCAATTCATCATATACAATTTATAATATAAATCTCCATCACATACATTCATCATTTTAATCTCTATCATATACAATTTATCATAAACAACTCTTTTGTATATAACTCCATCTTACATGTTACCATAGCAACCACAACTTCACGAAACATTTTCAGACTTATTGTTTTTAGGACACTTTTTATTACAGTGAGGGTTTGTGTATCGAGGGAATATATCATTTCCCGAAAAATAAGTGTATAATATGTTATAATGATATAATTAAAAAATAGTTTTCTTTCTTTGAGAGAATTCTGTATTTTCAGAATTCTGTATTAGCAAGAGACTGATTATGCTATTTTACACCTACCAGTTTACAGTTTACCTTATAAAAAGGGGTGTTATTATATCAGGGTTTCAAATATCTACTTTCCTATAAGATCAATCATTTGTTTTGTCAGGTAGGGTGTCATAAAACAGGAATATCTAAAAGAAAAAAATGTTTGTCATCAATAATTGATAGTATTTATAATGAACAATAGAAAAATGTTGTTTACTGGCATATCATAGATGATGACATCGACCTAAAGTAACATATCAACCTATAACAATGGATTCATTTTCTCCTGTCGTCATCCCAAGCCTAACATGCCCTCATATTTCACCCTATTTCTCTCCAAAATGTGAATGAAGTATATGTTTTTCTTGCATTTTTATACAGTTTTGAGTTTTAACTTCATGTCTGATTACTTATTTTTTTGTTAGTTGCATGATTTTTGATTCTATTCTTCATTTTAAACATGGTATTTGTTCAAGGTCATGCGTCAATGATTGATACATTCATTAGACTAATGGTTCATTAAGCCTGGGATGAAACATATGTAATCATGTACAAAGGCATAGGCAGACTCATAAAATGAGGTCTACCTTAGCAGAGTTTAAAATTCACAGTTGTCTGACTGCCAATGGGCAATCACTTTCACTCTTGGCAATGAAAAAATAAAATGTCTATTGGGCTGCATGAACTGAATGCCAATATATTAAATTGGGCAATCACTTTTCACTCTTGGCAATGAACTTGGAAAAATAAATGTCTTTTGGGCAATGGACTGAATGTCAATATGTTTATTGGGAGGTGGCCTTTATTTAGTCAATCATGTTTTCAACCTTCCTGCACCTTAGGGTCCCTAGACCTCCCCTCCCCCTTTGCCAGTCAAATTGACTTCCAGTCCTGAGAGAACAGTCCGGGCTTATTGCAAGTCCCCTCTTAGTCTCCTCTTAGTGTATGACACACAATTAATCTTACTGAAATATCAGAATGAACTATTTGACAGCATCATGGCGATTTCATATGACTAAGTGCTTGGGTACATATTAATGAAGCAGAAATGAATTACATAGGTACTTATACTAACACACTGATAAGCTTCAGCAAAACTTTTTCCATACAAATGTAGAAATAGGGTTACGATGCTCCCTTCCCAATTAGTATACTGATAAACAGAACTGCTTCAAAGAGCACATAAATGATATGCCATCAATCACATAATTAACCCTCAAACAATATTGATAAAACAAAACATTGATATACTGTTCATCTAGCTATTATGCATATAAGCTAGATGTGGTTGTATGTTGAATATTTCCCATGGAGACCTATACAATTAGCTTTAGTGAGTTAAGACATTTGTGTTTTTAAAATCTTAAAGGTCATTACATTCTGGATGTTTGGGCAATCCAGAATCAGGCTATAACGAAATGGTTTTGGGATCAGAGACAACAATTGATTGGCTGAGTCTTCCATGAATTTTATAAAAGGCCATTGACTATGAATGAATGAATGAATGAATGATTGCAAATGAAACAATGCAGCACTCCTTCACAGAGCTTCCCTTGGGTTAGTCTTCCATTATAACATTGAAATCCTATAAATCCCAGATGAGTTATACCTTTGCATGTATGTATGCCCAAGAGGTGGCTCTCACCTTATAAAGTTGTAAACAAAATAGAATAATAAAATACTCAGATATCAAAAAACGTAAGGACAATTACAGTAAAACCTGTATATCTGAACACCTCTCTAAATGTAAAATGGTCTGAATGGTGAAAAACTGCATGAATTTGAAAGAATTTTTGCCCGATCTCCCCCCTGGCTACTGGCCTGCTTCTAAATTCAAACACTTATTGCTAGTCCCAGTGGAATTCTGATTTGATAGGTTTTCCCATATGTTTTTTCAGGAATCTGTTTACGATATGCCAGCATCTAATCAACAACAGCAACAACAACAGGATGTGTACCACACCCACAATGCAACTTACCCCCACAATGCACCACATACAATGGAGGAAGATCCCTATGGGCATCACCAACAACAACGTAAGACTCACTCAGATGAGGAGTATAAAAGAAGAAGTCGAGATTTTGAGCGACGATTAAGTCAAGAAAATATAATAGAACGTAGCCATTATGGACAAGGTATCTATTGTTCAAGTGATTGGATTTCATTTTTCTCAAAAGTGGTCTATTATTTCTAGATTTTTTTAACTTTGAGAGAATAAGACCTAAGGCCTTATGAATGATTTTGCTATCCAGGGTCTCGTTTTTGGTATGATCGTGAATTAAGATTCCGAGAAACACATTGTTCATTTTATGACGAACAATGACCAAATCGTAAGTTCTATGACAGTTCCGAAAACGGACCCCAGCGTATTATAATACATTTTCTTACTATCAACCTTTTTATGCAAATGAATAGGGCTCAGTTGATGGGAAAAATCTTGAGAAGTCTTAGGTTGGTATATTGAAACCAATTTCTTCGTTTAAAGTGATTAATGAAGTAAAATAGTAGCTGGCTTTTTGCTACATATTAATTTGTCATTAATATCTTAATAACATTGACATTAAACATTGCAATGACTTTAAATTTTAATTATTTTCTCATTGATGATTGTTTACAAAGCTTTGATAAAATGGTGAACATTTTAAATCCTAAATTAGTTCTCATTTGTTGCTCATGATCTGTATGAAGCTGTTGTTCTATTGCAAACCCTTTGTGTGCTGATGCTTTATTATTATATTTTTCAATTTGAAATTACACTCGCATATATGGCTATTATAACTATGCAAATGGCCCTTGAAATTACACATGCATATATGGCTATGGTATCCATGCAAATGACCCTTGAAATTACACTTGCATATGTGGCTATTGTATCCATGCAAATGAACTTTGAAATTACGCTTGCATATGTTACTATTGTATCCATGCAAATGACCTTTGAAATTACACTTGCATATGTGACTATTGTATCCATGCAAATGACCCTTGAACTTACACTTGCATATATGGCTATTGTATCCATGCAAATGACCTTTGTAATTATGCTTGCATATGTGGCTATTGTATCCATGCAAATGACCTTTGTAGTAACGCTTGCATATGTGGCTATTGTATCCATGCAAATGACCTTTGTAATTATGCTTGCATATGTGGCTATTGTATCCATGCAAATGACCTTTGTAATTATGCTTGCATAAGTAGCTATTGTATCCATGCAAATGACCTTTGAAATTACACTTGCATTTGTTGCTTTTGTATCCATGCAAATGACCTTTGAAATTACACTTGCATATGTTACTATTGTATCTATGCAAATGACCTTTGAAATTACACTTGCATAATTGGCTATTGTATCCATGCAAATGACCTTTGAAATTACACTTGCATATGTGAATATTGTATCCATGCAAATGACTTTTGAAATTACATGTGCATGTGTGGCTATGGTGTCCATGCAAATGACCTTTGAAATTAAATGGCCATTGTATCCATGCAAATAACCTTTGAAAATTGCACTTGCATATATGGCTAAGATATCCATGCAAATGACCTACATACTTATTGTCCTACCAGGTAACCATGTGCATGACATTTGAATTTACACTTGCAAATGACCTTCATGCTTAAAGTTGCATACATTCTTATATTATCCATGAAAATGGCCTTTGAACTTACACTTGCATATATAACTATGGCATCCAGGCAAATGACACTTGAACTTACACTGGCACAAATGGCTATTGTATCTATATGCTCAGCAATGTACAGTATACAGGGTGGGCCAAAAAAAACAATACCCAACTTTAAATCCGAATGAAAATAGCTATGTTCAATATGATACATTGATTTATATATCATTTTAAAGGTAATCCATTTTTGAACAATTTGGTATATAACACTATGTCATGAAATCAATATTAAAGTTTTATTATGCTTATTTGGGAGGCCGGGTCGGTATTTAAGGTATCCAGATTTTAGGGAGAAAATAGTAAATCTGCGGAATAATGTTAATTTTTTAGTTATAGAATATCATTTTGTTAGGTGAAAAATGCTTGTATATTCGCATATTGTATGACTATACTTATTGTTAATGAATTTTAGTGTTGTTTATTATCAATAAGTACTCAAAGGGGTCTGTTAAAAGACATTAAACGTATATGTGATGAGGATTATATTTTCAAACAAGATATTGCCTCATACCATAGATCTCAGGAGACATTGGCATTCCTTTGCAAACAAGGTGTCCATTTGATTGATTTCGATGCTTGGCCACCCAACAGTCCCGATGCCACATGTAATGTGTTTGATTACCATACATGGAGCCATCTCGAGGAAATGGTACAATCAAATGCATCAAATAAACAGCATTGATGAGCTTAAACAGAATCTTAAAGTGCTGAAATGAATTGCCACAGAAATCTCTCAATAAGGGTATTGATAGATTACGCTACCACTTGAAGCTTATTGTTGATGCATAGGGGAGGGGGTGGGGGTATATTGAGCAATTGTTAAAATTGTTTAAATAAATAAAGTGTTAAATGTTATTTAACAGCACTGAATCATAAACAATAAGTTTAGCCACACAATATGCAAATATACAAGCATGTATTCACCTAACAAAATGATATTCTATAAATAAAAAATTAACATTATTCCGCAGATTCACTATTTTCTCCCTTAAATCTGGAGACCTTAAATAGCAACCCGGCCTCCCAAATAAGTATAATAAAACTTTACTATTGATTTCTTGACATAGTGTTATATACCAAATTGTTTGAAATTGTATAACCTTTAAAATGATATGTAAGTCAATGTACCATGATGAATGTAACTAATTTTATCCTGATTTGAAGTTGGGTATTGGTTTTTTTTGGCCCACCCTGTATATAGCTATAGTATACATGCAAATGACCCTTGAACACACACTTGCATATAAATTGCTATGGTATCCATGCAAATGACCCGTGTGTTTAAAATTGCATGCATTGCTATGGTATACATGCATATGACCTTTGAACACACGCTTGCCTATATGTTGCTATGGTATCCATGCAAGTGACCCTTCAACTCACACTTGCATATACATACATATATATATATATATGTATATTGCTATGCCGGTGTATGTGGATGCCCCTTCAACTTACCCACTGGTCTGCTAATTGTCTGTAAGGTTGTTGTACTGCTGTCTCTAGCCTTACAGCTGCCCTTACTGACCCCCAACAGGTTCGAATTTCATGTTTTTAGGCAGCAGCCAGTCCATGCCCCGGACCATCACCGTGCCACCCCCACCCCCCTCTGGCCGCCCACAGGCTAGGGCACTCTACACACACGTGGGGACAGGGGATAATCAGTTGAGTTTCACCGAGGGGGATATTGTCACGCTAATTGGTGATAAGAAAGATGGATGGCAGTATGGCGAGAATACTCGGACAGGAAGGTAAGAATTCAAGAAATATTTTTTCAATTTGTAACATTGCTATGGAAATATTGTTTCTTTCATGTTTTACTTTTTATTCATCCATTTCTTAAGGTTATTTTATTTCCATATAAGAATCATATAACACACAATTAAATATGAATATGGAGAAACAAGCCTACATTTGCACATTATTTGCTTGTGAAAACACATTTTACTTTTTATTAGGATCATCTGTGTGTAAATTGTCCTTTAATTATTGCACCCCGGAATAGCCTGACAACGGTAAAGTCAGATACTGTTGTCACAAATGGTGGACATAACAGTCGCTTCAATTAGATTTTCCTGAACTGTATGTTTAATAGAGCACCTAGACTAAATTCCTTTAGAACAACAACCAATCAAAGTGTCTTAATAGTCATTGTTCAGTTAATTTTTCTACCATCGAAATAAAGTTTTTAATTTAACCGATCAAAATGAGAAATGGGACAACGGACACTGTAATTATTACCATATGCCATTGTAAATTACTCAAATTCAGATTACGTTGTCATTGACGATATCGAAGACGCTATATTGTGGTGATTCACGACTTAATTTGATCGAAAATGGTATTTCATATGATACATCATTACAATAGCTTAATACATACACAGAATTAGCGACGATAAAGTCTCATGAAATGAGGACGAAGTGATTGAAGGGTTGAAGTGACAGTTATGTCCGCCATTTGTGACAATGGTATCTGACTTTACGGTTGTCAGGCTATTCCGGTGTGTATTGATCACCCTCGTGTGAACACCTTGAATGATTTGTGTTTCATATTACAGGTATGGCTGGTTCCCCATATCCTTTACTGAACCAATGAACACTGGACAAGACAATAGAAGGTATGTACAATACAATTATGGTATGTACAATACAATTACTAACTACAGTAGTACAGGGTGTCCAAAAAAAACACTACCGAAGAAAAGTTGAATAACTCAGTCAATTTTTGCATTTTTTGAAATTTCAGAATTATTAAGTTGATTCAATGTGAATTTATTTTGTTGTGAAAGTTTGATAATAATTCTGCTTAGTGAGTTATTTTCTTCAGTCCAGTTTTTTTAAACACCCTGTATATAGCAAAATGAATAATGAAAAACTTTCTCAAATTTGAAAACATTGAAACTTAATGTACAAAATCCTGTGCATAACATTTTGACATTTATTCCTTTCCTGAAAACTTAAAAGGTGAGTTTTCAAGGGGTTCTGTTGTAAATGGGATGAGTTGTCTTGGGTTGAGTTGTCAAGGTGATGTTGTCCAGGGATGAGAAGTCTAGGGATTGAATTGGCTGTTAGCCCAACAGTGGGCATGTAACTAACTATATAATTCATTTCATTACAGCCATCAAAGACCTAAGAGTGCAGGAGACATGTTACAAGTAAATAACAGCGACCACAGCTCCAGTGAACATGAGCACAGTGGGCATGTAACTAATTATATATTTCAATTCATTACAGCCATCAAAGACCTAAGAGTGTGGGAGACATGTTACAAGTAAATAACAGTGACCACAGCTCCAGTGAACATGAGTATACAGTGGGCATGTAACTAATTATATATTTCAATTCATTACAGCCATCAAAGACCTAAGAGTGTGGGAGACATGTTACAAGTAAATAACAGTGACCACAGCTCCAGTGAACATGAGTATACAGTGGGCATGTAACTAATTATATATTTCAATTCATTACAGCCATCAAAGACCTAAGAGTGTGGGAGACATGTTACAAGTAAATAACAGTGACCACAGCTCCAGCGAACATGAGTACAGTGGGCATTTAACTAATTATATATTTCAATTCATTACAGCCATCAAAGACCTAAGAGTGTGGGAGACATGTTACAAGTAAATAACAGCGACCACAGTTCCAGCGAACATGAGCACAGTTGGCATGTAACTAATTATATATTTCAATTCATTACAGCCATCAAAGACCTAAGAGTGCAGGAGACATGCTACAAGTAAGTAACAGCGACCACAGCTCCAGCGAACATGAGTACAGTGGGCATGTAACTAATTATATATTTCAATTCATTACAGCAATCAAAGACCTAAGAGTGCAGGAGACATGTTACAAGTAAATAACAGTGACCACAGCTCCAGTGAACATGAGTACAGCGGGCATGTAACTAACTATATATTTCAATTCATTACAGCCATCAAAGACCTAAGAGTGCAGGAGACATGTTACAAGTAAATAACAGTGACCACAGCTCCAGCGAACATGAGTACAGTGGGCATTTAACTAATTATATATTTCAATTCATTACAGCCATCAAAGACCTAAGAGTGCAGGAGACATGTTACAAGTAAATAACAGCGACCACAGCTTCAGCGAACATGAGCGCAGTGGGCATGTAACTAATTATATATTTCAATTCATTACAGCCATCAAAGACCTAAGAGTGCAGGAGACATGTTACAAGTAAATAACAGTGACCATAGCTCCAGTGAACATGAGTACAGTGGGCATGTAACTAACTATATATTTCAATTCATTACAGCCATCAAAGACCTAAGAGTGCAGGAGACATGTTACAAGTAAATAACAGTGACCATAGCTCCAGTGAACATGAGTATACAGTGGGCATGTAACTAATTATATATTTCAATTCATTACAGCCATCAAAGACCTAAGAGTGTGGGAGACATGTTACAAGCACTCTAAAAAAATATTACTTGACAGCTAGCTGAAGCAATTTGATTGATTACTAAGTAATTTATAAATTACTTATGTCACCTAAAATGTAATTATATTACTTAGTAATTGTTTATTTGTGTGAATTACTTACTTTAGTAAGTGTAATACTTTATTTGTAAATAAATTGTTTCTGTTTCTGTTTTATTTGCATATAAAAGTAATAATATTACTAGGTAATTTAATTCTCCATTTGCATTTTAACATTTCATTAATAGTTATACTAGCAATGTAAATGAATTACTATGTTTAATAGCATTTAATTGAAAATACATTATTGAGTAATTCTTTTAACATTCAAATTACTATATTGAAATATTATAATACTAGCAATGTAAATAAATGGTACCAAATAAATGTTTAATTGCACTAAATTCGAAATACATTACTGAGTAATCCTTTTAATATTTGAATTACTTTATAGAAATATGATAATACCAGCAATGTAAAGGAATTACTAAGTTTAATTGCATTAAATTGGAAATATGTTACTGAGTAATCTTTTGATATTTGAATTACTATATAGCAATAGCGATGTTAATGAATTAATATGTTTAACTGCAATAAAATGATAAGATTATACTGAGTAATTCTAATACTTAGTATTCTAAATTTTTAAAATAGTAATTAAATTACTTAATGTAGTTTGATATCATGTTTTTTAATATTTTTAAAATCAAGATTTAATTCTTTATTAAAAGAAACTGTAACAAAATCATGAAATGATACATTTACAAAGAACTATGTCAATTTTATGTGAAGCTGATTAACATACGATTAATTAATGCTAACTCTATTTGATATTAACCTAATAAGACAAACTCCATTTTGTGGTATTCAGTTAACTATTAGGTCTGCTCCCCAAACGTACGGTTACAATTTGTTCAAAGTGCTGTATGTAATCATGGACATATGTGGAAACTTGAGAACAAAAGAATTATCTTGATAACATGTAAATAGATCCTAGCCAAGTTAAAAAAAAGAAAAAAGTCTTGAACAAAGTATTCAATTTTTAATTAGGTAATTTCAATACTTAAGTAATATAATTACTTAGTAATGTTATCCTCAAATATAAAATACCCTTTGGAACAAAACAATTACTTATAGATCAGAGTAAAATAATTACTTAATAATTATAATTATTTATAATACAAGTAATTTTTTAATTACTCAATATAGTAATTCAGTCAAAATAATACTATGCTAGTAATATAATTACAAAAATGAAAACCCCTTTGGGACAAAAACAATTACCTGACCTAGTAATTAAATTACTTGTGAATACAAAGATAATACAAACTTAAGTAATTATTTTTTAGAGTGCTAGTAAATAACAGCGACCACAGCTCCAGCGAACATGAGTACAGTGGGCATGTAACTAATTATATATTTCAATTCATTATAGCCATCAAAGACCTAAGAGTGCAGGAGACATGTTACAAGTAAATAACAGTGACCACAGCTCCAGCGAACATGAGTACAGTTGGCATGTAACTAATTATATATTTCAATTCATTACAGCCATCAAAGACCTAAGAGTGCAGGAGACATGCTACAAGTAAGTAACAGTGACCACAGCTCCAGTGAACATGAGTACAGTGGGCATGTAACTAATTATATATTTCAATTCATTACAGCCATCAAAGACCTAAGAGTGCGGGAGACATGTTACAAGTAAATAACAGCGACCACAGCTCCAGTGAACATGAGTACAGTGGGCATGTAACTAATTATATATTTCAATTCATTACAGCCATCAAAGACCTAAGAGTGCGGGAGACATGTTACAAGTAAACAACAGTGACCACAGCTCCAGCGAACATGAGTACAGCGGGCATGTCACGAGGGATAGGAGTGGTTCCAGGGGGGATAGACCAAAGTCTATGTATGGCATCCTAAAGAGCCCATCTCATGTAAGGGGTTAATATTTTTTGCAAAATAGAGCTGAGTGCTTTACATTATAAATATAGTTCAGAATTCTTTCATGTTTTGGGTCAGCAAGGAGAATGTATATGCCTTTGTAAAGTATGATTTTTATGTCTCCACCAAAAGTGGTGACATATTGCTATGTTCTCCATTTTTTGTGACGGCGGTCATTGTCTGGGATTCAACATCTGTAACAAATGGCAGGTGGTGACATTTTTTCATGTTAATTCCTTCTTGGGAATTGTAATAACATGGAATAAAGTTGTAGACTGTTGTATACATGTTTTAATATATATTGTATCAATCTTTCAATTATATTTCATTTTTCAACTTTTTTTAAATTTAATTAAACTATTTTCTCTGGATTTTAGACACCTGTTTCACAGAATACTGACTCTGGGGTGTGGTCTTCTCCCTATGAGCCTCGGGAAACTCGACAGCGCCCACAGTCCATGTATGACGAGGCACAGCTTGATGTCAATTGGCAGATGCAGCAGCCTCAACCAACCAATCAGGGTGTTCCAGAGAGCTGCACGAGTCACAGTCTCCCTGGTCATTATGCGGCACCTTCTGTTCCACCCCCTCCCCAGCACCCTCCACCAAGGGTTCATAGGTCACACCCCCCTACTCCCACCCATAGGCCTCGCTCCCCTCACGTCCATATGCAGCAGCCTGTCCCCCAAGGTCAAGGACCACAAAGCTCGCCTCTCCCCCATAGGTTGCCACGGAGACAAAGTTTTGATAGTGATCTCTTACCCCCTCCCCCTCCTCCCCCACCTTTACCCCAAGCCCGTAACTATGGTAACAACTATACAAATGGCTATGGAAGCAGTGTAACTCCGTCTCCACCCCAAAGTGGTTCAAGTTACGGATCATTGCAACCCTTGAATTACCGAGTAGGGTCATCCACATCCTCTAGTCAACAAAATATTGAGAATCACCACGGGGGACCACCAGGTCACCATAGCAACCAACATGAGTACTATAGCAACTATGATGAACAACAAAGGAGGTAAGGAGAGAAAACAATGCATTGTGTTTATTTTATTTCGCATTTGATATGCCATACTGCATTTCATGGAATAATGACATATCCTGTCATTCAATTATTACCTGGGAGCTTTCTGTTCTATGAATAGCTTAGGGAAGACCTATTGGGTCGGGGCACTCTTTTGTCATGCCATCTGTTTGTATGTTTTCTCGTAAATAGGCCTTCCTTAACAAACTCTGAACTACTGTTCTGTAATCTGCTGTGCTGGTCCTTCCTTGAGATAATGTAATGTTTGCATTTAGATATCACTGTTCTAGTTGAATTCCTTTAAACTTGGTAAATGGTCTCTCGATATTAAAGGTTTGTAATTTCTTGTCTGTCTTTGGAATGTTTTATTGCATGTTCCTACATAAAATCTACAAATTCTTGAATTCTAGCGCACCCTTTTTAAGACTAGATGAAATGAGGTGTATGTAAAATTAGTTCCTTTCCAAACTTTTAGATGGCAGTGTTTATTATGACTTCTATCACATGGTGATTTGTACTTAGTTCTTATGTTGCTTTGTTTTGCAGAAAGAGGGAAATCCTATCACATATGTGTATGTATATTTCTATCTGGCTTGCCTTGCTTGCTTTTTAGGGGAAGACCAATAGAACTTACAGAAATATCATATACTGTTTACAACCTAATATTTGAACTTTTCATTCAAAGTGCAAAATTCAAATATCCTTTGGCTTAATGAGGAAGAAAATAGTTTTGAGGCTGGAATTGATATCAGACAGAAATGATGTGTATCTTATCTACTGATTCATATTTGGAAGACAAAGGATACCAATTCTTCAGAAATAATTTAAAATGAGGGTGAATTGTTTAAAAAACTATTTTGGTCTCACACCCCAAGTTCTTATAGTCACCCCTTGCATCTCTCATAGATTTACATATGCTTGAATGTCATAACTGTCATTGTTTATATTCTAAATTGAGGAAAGGAAATCTGACTTTTCATTATTTAGAATAGAAAACAATATGGCTGAAATGGCATTTTAAAACATATTGATTTCTAACTTATATCTGTTTGCTCTGTTCTGTACAGTGTAGCTGTACTCTTTTCAGATTTTCTAATTTCTATTTTCCATTTGAAATATTATAAGAATTTCAACCATTATTTGTAGCAACCCCTTAACCTCTTGAACCCCAGGCTCTAAAATCGGTTGAAACCAGAGAATTTTTCATTTTTGCCATCTTTTAAGATTTTACTACATACCACAACTTTAGATGTTGATTTTAGTAAAATTAGATGGCAGAGATCATTTCTACACATTTTAAAACAATTTATGTGTAAATTGGTTGAAGTGAAAAATTTCGTGACAGATTTTCTCATCACTCTGGGTTTCAAGATCATTTCTGAGATAACGAGATATCTCGTCACTCCAGGTAGTAAAGAGGTTAATATTGATATATTTATAACTTGATTCAATTAAGGAATAAATAATGATAGGCCATTCAATATGGTGAAATTCAGCACGAGTTGGACAGAATGTCGTACAAAGCACGAACCGAAGGTGAGTGCATTTGTACTGACATTCTGTCCAACGAGTGCTGAATTTCACCATATTGAATGGCCTATCATTATTTATTCCGATTCAAACATATAAAAAATGAAAACATTGTTCAGAGAATTGGGGATTGGAGCTACAAGAGATACACCAAACTCGAGCTCGCTGTTATTTTCGCCATTCCCAGGTGTGACGTCACAATACAAATGCAGTACGTAGATTCCCAGATGATTGGATAGAGCACGGTCGTGCATCTATGGAGAATTAGAGAACGTTCTATATTGGCTATGCTGCATTCTGATTGGTTGAGAAATTCAATTAGAGCACGGTCATGTTTGAATATGCAATACGGAACTGTGTTGTACTAACATGAATCGTTCAAGTTTTAGAATTTCGACATTAACATTAACATTGCATTTTAGAACCAATAGAGTGCCCCCTATAGTGCATGCTAATAACTAAATTTTTGTACATGTAATTTTGAAACCTGATAATGATAATGAATTGTAGTCCCTATTTATTCTACCTGCAAGTTTTTTACAGTGTGATGCTTATGTATATTTTACATGTTGTTATATTGTGTGAAAATGATTGGAATATAGAAATAAGGGATTAAATGAGTAATTATCAAGATAGATATCAAGATAATTTTACTGCTTGAATCACAGACCATTAATATACCATAGCCAGCTTGTGTAAAGAGAATGTCTCTCTTTTTCAGTTTAAATTGAAGTTGATTATTTTCAGAAAAATGTTTGAATTCCATTAGAATTTGCAGTTTGAGAAAAAATGTTCTAACTTCATTAAAATTGGCAATTTTTACAAAAAAATGTTCAATCCCCCAAAAATTCAAAATTTATTGAAATTAGCAATTTTTAGAAAAAGCTCTTCAAATTAAATAAAAGATGTAAATTTTGAGTGAAAACTTATATATCCTTCAAACAGTTCCGTAGCCCTGAATGTTTTTTCATCCAGACGATCCCTCATTTCAGTATAATTGTGAAGAAATATTTGTGTTTTTTCACTTTTAGATATTCATTCAACTGACCAGGTTTGTGTAATGTGAAAAAATAGTAGTAAAATCTATCTTTGACTTATATGTTTTATTGTGAAATAGTGTGTTTGTCTAGAGCAGAGTGACAGTACATGTTTAGAGAATAACTTTTTTAATATTGATATATCACTCTACATGGAATTCATGCACTCAGAATACTTGCTTTAATTTAGATTCGAAATAGTTGATGTTCTCTCATATTGTTTCTTAGTTTTGAAATGGTTGATGAACGTTCAATATGTTTCTTCAGTTTCAATGTGTTGTAGTTAAAATCAAGATTGCTCACAAGATGTTATATATGCTTTAGATTTGAAATAGTGCTCTTTAAAATGTGTCTGTAGATTTGAAATAGTTGATCTCTCAAAAATTAAATTTCAAATATTGTATGTGTGTTTTTAGATTAAAATAGTTTATTATGTCACCATCAAAAAGTGGTGATATATTGTTATGGTCTCAGTTTTTTGTGGCGGTGGTTGGGGATCGGCGGTTGGCGTCTGTAACAAATTCTTACAACTTCCAATATCTTAACAAACACTGCTTAGACTGACTTCAATTTCTTTCAAAATCATCTACAAGTTATCAGAAGTTCAAATCTGACTTAAGATTTGAGAGTTGACCTTCACTGACCTTTTTAAGGTAAAAAGAGGTTAAGAAGGTCTTTCTTCGTTGCTTCAAATTTACCAAATGTTTTTTCAAAATCATCTACAAGTTCTCAAAAGTTCAAATTTGACTATAGATTTGACATTTTCAAGGTCAAAAAAGATTTGACCTTCATCAATGACCTCTTCAAGCTCAAAAATGTATTTTTCAACTTGCTTCAAATTGACCAATTTTTTTCAAAATTAGGCCATAAGAAGTAGATTCTTTGTTTTGCATCCTGGCAAAATCCAAATCATGCAAGGGTACAAGGAAAACAAACACAAACTCAAGAAAAAACACAAACTTGTTTGCTGAGAAATGTATACATTTTCTGGGCTTAAAAAGGGATGACATATCAATTTGCAGTCATTACAAACACATATTTATACATTTTATACAGTATATTTAAACATACCTATTATTCAAGGGTAAAAAATAAGAAAATACACAATGTATGCCAAATAATAAATAAGACTGTTAACATCAGATTGTTCGCCATTTCCTCTGATTATCCCACCGAACGAAGTTCGAGGGGGATATAGAAAAGCCGTCCGTCCATCTGTTCGTCCATCCGTTCGTCCGTCCGTTCGTTTTATAGGCTTATGCCTTTTGGGTGTAGGACCTCTGCTCGAGAAGGAATTTTCAATATGGCTGCTTAATTCAAAATGGCGGCCATTTTTCGGAAAAAATATAATCTTTAATAACTCAAATACTAGTGGATGGATTGGGCTCAAATTTTATATGCTGTTGCCTCGGTACAAAGGAGCCTTGCTCAAGAAGACATTTTCAAGATGGCCACCAAATTTCAAAATGGCGGCCATTTTTCGTAAAAAAACGTTATCTTTGATTACTCAAAGACCATTTAATGGATTTGGTTCAAATTTTAGATGCTGATGCCTAGGGACATGGGAGCTCTGCTCAAGAAAGGATTTTCAAGATGGCAGCTAAATTTCAAAATGGCGGCCATTTTTCGTAAAAAAACATTATCTTTGATAACTCAAATACCATTGAATGGATTTGGTTTAAATTTTAGATGCTGATGCCTAGGGACATGGGAGCTCTGCTCAAGAAAGGATTTTCAAGATGGCAGCTAAATTTCAAAATGGCGGCCATTTTTCATAAAAAACATTATCTTTGATAACTCAATTACCATTGAATGGATTTGGTTCAAATTTTACATGATAATGCCTAGGGACAAAGGAGCTCTGCTCCAGAAGGGATTTTCAAGGTGGTAGCTAAATTTCAAAATGTCCGCCATTTTTCATAAAAGAATGTAACCTTTGATACCTCAAATACCAGTTGACGGATTTGGTTCAAATTCTATATGCTGATCTCTAGAGACAAAGAAGTTCTGCTCAAAAATAAATTTTCAAGATGGCCACTGAATCTCAAAATGGCCGCCATTTTTCGTAAAAAAACTTAATTACTAGTGGATGGATTTGGTTCCAATTTTATATGCTGATGTTTAGGGAAAAAGGAGATCTGCTTCAGAAGAAATTTCAAAGGCGATTGCTGAATTTCAAAATGGCTGCCATTTTTCATTAAAAAAGTAATCTTTGATTACCCAGATACCATTTGACGGACATTCTCTGCTAAAGAAGAAATCTAAAGATGACAGCTGAATTTCAAAATGGCAACCATGTTTCATAAAGACATAATGTTTGATAATTCAAATACCAGTGGATGAATTTGGCTCAATTTTTTTATCAAAACATGTTTTGTTCGGTGGGATTTGCTACTCCGTGGAGTTGCTGTTTTTCTAGTTCTGATTTAACGAAATGCGATGGTACTTTCAGACCCTTGTGCTATTTTTAAGTGTGTTTTTCTGATTTACTCAAAATCGTGCTAGCATGGGGACACAAAACAAAGAATCTACTTCTTATGGCCTTATCAAAAGTTCTCAGAAATTCAAATCTGACTTAAGATTGAACTAATAAAATTGTGAGCAACTAGGTGGTGACATGTTGTTATGTCGATGCCTTGTGTTAGATTTGAAATAGTTAATGCACTCTCAAAGTATGTCATTTAGAAATTGCATGGAAATAGATGCAGCAGTTCTGAGAAATAATATAAAAAGTGTGTATATAAAAGTGTGTAAAATGGTCAAGAGTGAAAAAACCCTCCCAATAGTCTAATGGTCTCTCCCTCCTCAATGGCTCTTTTCTTAGTTCTCAGATATCTCCAATTTCCAATTCTGGTATTACAGTATTAATAGATCTTCTATGAAGTAATTTTCTATTTTATCATCTTCGTTGAAGACCTAGGTGACCTGGATTCTTAGAACTAATTATATGTTTCTATTTCTGAGAATTCTGTAACCTAATTATCCTCACCTGATCCACTTATAGAATGATAAATAGAATCTCTTTTCCTTTTATCTATCCTGCATTTAGGATGAGTCTCACTTCTGGGATATTTTAGTTATGTAAAGACTGTAGAGGTTACACTCCCCTTCATAAGTTATATATATCTATATCTACACTCCCCTCCATAAGTTTGGCAACTGGAAGTATCCTTTTTGGTTCACTAATCAAAAGCTGTTAATTTTTCATTAAGTTTGTAATACATTTCCAAACTGTTGTAATAAAGGAACACTAATAAAATTCATATATTGACAGGCTTTGCTAAAATTGCTATGCTTTCCAATGAAAACCTCTGATTGCCAAATTTAAGGAGGGGAGTGTATATACTAAACCTGGAGTTACACATAATATCTCAATAGACATACATTTTCCCTTCTGCTACAAATACCCTGTCATTTCATGCTAAACATGGGTGTATGGAACACTCTCCGTGCTAGCAAATATTCTTCAAGTCAAGTGATCCTATTATAGAGAGGGTTTATTTAAATGCAAGTTTATGGACTTGGTTCTTTTGAAAACTGTTCCATGTGGATTGTGGAGGTTTGTTCTATTGGACAAGTTATACTGTAATCCTCCAATTTAAAGTAACTGTGTTTTCTATTTCAGAAACCCCTTCAAAGATGTTAAACTGAAAAAGACAATTACCCATGACAGATCTGCCCCAAGGTTACAGTAGGCTGATTTCCAAATTGGATGTGCCTCATGGAATTTAGGAAATTGCCTCACATAACTTAAGCTGTGCCTCATATTTTAAGAATTTGCCTCATTGGGCTAACCCCATTTGAGAAATAGAGAGTAACATGCATCATGCTTTTATATTTAATCTAAAGCAGTATAACCAGTGAATATCACCTTATCTTGCATGACTAGTTTTGACTAATCACACAACTACAACTTGACAGTACCATGGTGATCCTGGATATATACGTCATGAGGCTAACCTTGTGACAACATTGAGAAATGTAAAGAATCTCATGGATGAAACTGAATGGCCACAGTCATTGTCTTTTCCAAGGGAGATGATCTGTACATTTCATAGCTTACAGATCTAAGGAACCTATCCCTACACTTGGGACAATTTAAATGGTACTATAAATGAGACGATTACTAGTATACAATGCAATTGTACAATTTGACTGATATTTACAATGAATGTCACCAATAAAAGAAGCAATTCATGAGAGGATTTCACCTAGATCAATATCATAAACTAATACTCAGATGTGCATTAACACACAATGGCCACCAATATGCAAAGGCATTGCTAAGCATGAGGTTGTCAAGGCAACTGCCTCAACAAATCTTTAAAAGATAAATTGAAATAATATTTTTAACTGAAACTATAAAATGATATCTAAAACTAGCATTATATTTTATGTTATTTACATGAGCTTTGTCTCATCTTTTTTATACTGTCCTTGCCTATCTTTGACTCTGGCTACACCCTTGTATAAATATATCATACATATAAGAAAAATGATCCACACTGGAAAGAGATCCACACTGGAGAGTCCAGAATTTCATTGGCAACATGTGATTTTCTCAAGTTTGTTGGTTAATGTAAATAAGATCAAATATAATCCTAACGTTTGATATTATTAATTTATAGTTCAGTTAAGAATAAAGTTTGTATATTCTTGAAAAAGCACCTGTTTTAGGGATTTTGCAACTATTTCCATGGTCACATCATTTCCATGGTAACATATGATTTCCAATAATTTTGTCTGTTTTTATTATATATCTGTTGTCAGTAATTTTACCACAACTCCCAAGAGTGCAATTAAAATATTGGAAGATGTATATATTATTGATTGAGAAACATTATATCCACAAACTATGTGTGATGCCAAAGGAACTGAAATCAACTTGTCAATTTGACATATGTATATTTATAATTATATAGTCTTATATATTATATGAATGAGTGCAATGGAATTGTAAATTTAGAATTCTATAAGTAGATTGTTTTTATTCTTTTAATACTCAGGCTGTTAACTAGTCTAGACAGCTAGCAAGTCTAGAATCTCTTAAAGTATTTATACTTCTGGCTGAGGCCCAGGAATAAGATACAGAATGTTTGTAATGTCACCTAGCATTGATTATATGGAATGTACGTTATGTATTAATTTAACCATGTTTCTACGTACATGTTCTCTCGCATGAATAAAACTGAAAATGATAGATGAGTGATGGACATATTGTATTTTCAGTCATTCAACTGTTCACTCATACTCTTGACAAGAAGAATACATGGACACAATTAAATCTGAAAATAGTTGATGTAATACAAGCATGGTGATTTTGAAATGTTTTATTACTCCATTCTAGGGCCTCAGACCTTTGGTATATCTCAGTGTGTAATTTTAGCAGTTGTGCGTTAGACTGTATATATTTATGTGATTATTTCCAGATATTCAACCATATTTTATGATGAATGGTTATTTTTAGCAAAAACCATGACAGCTCATTTACCATTGACAGGTTGATTTTTATGAAATAAGTTAAGCATTGAAACAGCTGTCAGCGATGATACAGGTAAACCTTTTATTGTGGATGCCAATCTAGTGAAAAAAATAGGTTGTTGTTGTTTACACCGAGAGAGAGGGGCAACGGAAATCTAAGAATTCATCAGGCAATCCAATATAATTGAAGTATTTTTATTAATTTGAGTATTGATAAATGCTTTTCTAGATTCTTACAATAATTCAATCAGTTTGTTGATACTTGAAAAAAAAGATGTTCGCTAAAATTGGTTTTACTGTATTTTCAATTAACAACATGTTTTGTGCTCTAATGAAATTACAAGTAAAATACATATAGCCATATTAACAAGTGCAATTTTTTTTTTGATTAGTACAAATGAAATAGTTCTAAAGTCAGTGTATGTGATGTTTCCTTTTAGTTATTGTAAAGCCGAACCAATAAGCATCTTATGTACAATAAAATGTGAGGCCATTGTACTATCAAATTATATTTGATTTAGTCTTTTGATCATTAATATTTAAGAAATATAGACCGAAGAGCAGGGGTAATATTGTTGAATACACCCCACAGGGCTAGGCACAAACGTTTTCCGTACCCCAAACGACCGAAGGGAGTGAGGGGTTCGAAAGCCTTTGTGCCTAGCCCTAAGGGGTGTATTCGATGATATTACACCTGCTCTGAGTTCTATATTACGATTCAAACATGAAAACTCACCAACCAAAATGTTTCGAATATTCATTATGGTCCGCCATTACTACGGCCCGCCGTTATGACGTCACACATATTACAAGGGGTTTTGTTCGCGAATATACCACGGTGAAATGTTGACTTTGTTTACAGTTTATAGAAGGCGGGAATACAGTCATGTTCTTATCTTTTATACATCACAATTTGATGAGCTGTCAATAAAAATATCAACGGTTGGCAAAAATACTCATTCATATGTTCAGATTACAGTTTTTTAAACTTTTATTTTACCTTCAAAAGTTTGGATTTTTAAGAGAATCTTAAACATATGTTTTATTTACAGTGGCCTTAAATGTACAATGTGGCCTTATTTACTGCTTTCTTAGGCCAATTAAAAAAACTAGTCAAAATGAAGCCAAAGATTTTTAATTACAATCATTTATCTAATTTATTCAGAGTGTAATATTTTAGTCTCATAAAATCACTCTTTTTATTTTAGCTTGTTTGTGCAATCCAATATTGAAACAAATGTGTATAGATATCATTTTTTACTGTTCTTTGTGAGATAGAATCTCAACTTTTATGTCAGCTAAATTATTTATTGAAGGAGTGCACACATACAATCTTTATTTTCTCTAGGTTTTTGTGTCTTTTTTGTTTTATTTTAAAGGGAGCTGTTCACAAATGTTTACAATTTACTGTAAAGCCTGTGTAAGTGAAACACCTTTTTAACTCAAAAAGTGTTCTACTTGGGAGGTGTTCCACTTACATGATGGAAATACCTACTTTGAAGGTGGAGATGTTCCACTTAACTTGTATTACTATATTGTCTTGTTTTTATTTGTATATGCCTTTCAACTTACAAACAATATTATAAAACATAATAACAATTTAGCATCATCTTTAAACAAAGCAACAATGCATGTTAAATTATGTCATTTCATTATCATATATTAATATTTTGATGTCAGTGATTTCCTAGAATTATTTGAACAACAGGATGCAAAATCCTAACTTAACCTTGGTCAGAATATCTCAATACTGTAGTTCACCATTTTGACAAGGTGCAAGTAATTTTCAAAAGGCTGAAGCAATTGAAGCAGGTTGTAGGAATTCGCAATTCTGAAATCAAAATTCTCATTTCTAACCAAAGTAATGAATAATAGTGATTAAACATCCCAATCCCAATCATGATTTTGTAGTTACTGTATAAGTGGTAAATTGCCTTATCCTTTGATTTGCCTATTGCCTAATTTGTGCTATGTTCAGAAAGTTAAATGTCGGAAATATTATCTTAATAGCATTATCCAATGGGAAGTTGCTTGTCATTAGGAAAATGATAAAATTTGACCATTTGACAAATTAATCACTCGGATTAAATACCACTTAGTATAAAGATGTCTGTAACATAGCATGTATATATACTGATATATCAAAGAACATGTAATTTATATATTTTATAGTTCAATTATAATTTTCATTCTTACAGCACATCCTTACAATTTTGTTCCATTTAAAGTGGTGCAATCTGTAACTCCATGCAAAGCTTTGAAAATATGGCCAGTAATTGCATAGCGTGTCATGATTTTCTATCAGCTCAGTTGTTCCATCTTTGCCTGTGTATCAGTTGCCTTTTATATGTACACCCCCACAAAAAGTTTGGCAACTTCTCACCAATTTCATATTATTAAACCGCATGTTAAAGCTTGATGAAAAAGGCTTGAACATGTTATCCAATGGAGTATCAGGATTGTCAACTTTTTTTAGTGAAGTGTATATGGCTGTAAGTTTGTTGATATTGACAGTGAACAGATTGACTGAGATTATTTATTTTAACTTGAACTTAAAATGAGTGAAAGTCATTGATATTATATAATTGCATAATATGTATTATTATTTATTATATATCTTATCTATATATTAGGAACAGTCCTTTGTAAGATATGAAATAAATCTATTTTTGTGAATACCTGAGATAATTCTGCTGTGCAGTTTTGTTTTGAGTTCTATTGAAAGATGGCAGGCCTGTCATATCTGTTAGGAAATATTGGACAAGAAGTTTTTTGTTACATTTTTGTTATTATTCTTGCGTGTAGACAATGGGGAGGGGGGTTACATTGCTACCCTCTCCCCGCACATTTTTGATATAAGCTACCTGGCACAACTTTTTTATTTTCTCCGTAAAAAATCGGTGCAAAGTCTATAAAGGGAGGGCTACCTCTTCCGTGTATTAAACATAAGTTATGCAAAAGAAGCACTAACTGTAAGAATTGATCCACAGTAAAAAATGAAACCCTCTATTTTTGGAAAAACTCAGTTATCATTGAATTATTTGTGATTCCTATATGTAGTGTTCAATTCATGGAAGATACCATTCTACATGAGTAATATTATATACGACAAAATTGAGTTTCTTTTTTGAGTGAGTCACCTTGTACATGTCTCGATAGATAGGATGATCATGAGGTGTTCAGAAAACATGAATGATGTTACATATGCCATATGTTGCTGACAGTAGATTAACAGGATGTTTGACATATTTCCAATAGGCCTTTAATATTTCATGGAATTTAATATGAAATAAAGCAATGTGCAGTTATCAATAAAAGGTTAATTCAACATTTGCAACATGGTATTTGTGCTAATAGGGAGTTTAAGCTTGCATTTAAAATCGAAACGCCAACCTAAACGTATCAACAATCGCACATACAAATGCATCGCTTATATATTTTCCGTTCACGTTTAGGTTGTGAAAAACATTGCAATCTTAAACTTCCTATTATCTGAGCGCAAATTACCCTGCGCGCAGAGTCTAGTTATAGTCTAGTCTCTTTTAAGAAGTGAAGTCCAACAAATTCAAAGTGTAAGCTCAAAAGGCCAATGATTTAAATTGTTTCTTTATAATAGAGCTCCATCGACCTAATGTACTTAGCAATGAAAAAAAGATAAAGTTTTATTGACTTCAGCTAAAACCACAAAACAACAGAAAACAGACAAGTTCATTCGAATATTTAATACATTTATTCACTAATTTCAATTCAATTGATAAACTTCAAATCATTACAGTACACATCGTTCGTCATAATTATGGATTTTGAATTTTTCATTGATTTTACTGATTTTTGTTTGCTTTGAAATTTCGAATTTATATTTTTCAATGGAACATTTATCTAAAGCAGTCAATTTCGCAGAAGACTAAGAAATATAATTAATGTCAGACTAAATATCAAAATGAGTATCAATGGACACATCATATATGGAGCAACGGTGCTTTTTATCTGCTTACGAAAATTACCCGGAGCACTCCCCCTCCCCCTAATTCAGCAACAAAAAAACGAATTTACCGTTATACCAATGCTCTCTAACTCGAACAGGACAGAAATTTTTCATCTAATAAGCTACCGCCACCCCCTCCCTTCCTTCCCTTCCCTTTATAATTTTGATGTAAGAAAAATTTCGAAAAAAACTCTAGCCGAAACGTGTCACTGTAATCACGATGGAATTGACGCATGAGGAGTTGAACCCCAATGCAGATGGGTTGATAGCCATCTGGACACTTCCGGTGATCGCCTTGTGATTACAGCAACTCTACCAACCCCCCCCCCCTCCAAGTATGGCAAAAATTCAATGGAAGAATAAACAATTTAAATAAACCCCTGCAATACACTTTCCAAACTCCAAGTATGGCAAAAATTAAAACCGAAACTCTAATAAACAATTTAAATAACCCCCTGCAATACACTTTCCAATCTCCAATAAAATCTTTTCAACCCCACCCTTTCTTCACCCCCACATTTCGAACTGTTTGGGAAGTGCTTCTAGCCGGTACTGCATTCCTCTGACATTGTTGCCTAAATGTCTGTTTAAGTCACCCTATCCTAGAGTGTATATATGAACGCCGGGTATTTGAATCGACCAGGATGTTTTTGGTTTGAGTGTTGGCGTGAATTTTCGTTTCATCTTCCGGAACACATTTTTAACCTTTTTCAGAAGACCTGGAAAAAAGGGAAATCTTCTAATACGTCATCGTTTCGTGATTAAATTATCGTTTTTCACAATTTTTATAAAAATCTAAAGTATTTCGACTGACTGAGATCGATTAGCTAGTATGCCTACCTGTTTTGGTTTTCTTTTTCGCATCCTCTGCAATTTCATTTTCTTTATTACATAGTGTGTCATCAGCTTTATCGCTTGCTCCTGTGTTATTCTCGCCTTCCATCTCCTTTTCGATTGTTGGGGCCATCTCACTCTTAGTGCCAACATCGTTGTTGTCTACCATGTTGTCTGTCGCAATGTCAACATTGCCAAGCACCTCCTCCTTATCATTTATTTCATCCGTCTCACTCTTGGGAACATCGTCGGAGTCGTCAACCACATTGTACTAAATATAGTATTAGTATTCAGATTATATACCGTAAAGATACTAGTACACTCGGGCATCTTCTTTTTATTCTTAGTTTATGATCTATTTTAACATTTTGTAATAAGACAGAGAGCAAATAATAAGGGTGGTCAAAAAAATGGAAACCCTATTACCATTTTCCTCATATCTTTGTTATTTAAAAAAATAACTCCCTGATATTTTACACTTTTGTACATCATTCAATTTGCTACCAGCCTACCTTATTTCATGACCATCAGATTGATAGTCACAATGTTACAGTACTTTAAAGAACATGCCCAGTGGCCACTATTGCGTTGTGGGGAAACCTGTACTCATCGTCTAAAATGTCCCTACCTGTGGGGATATGGCAGAGATAGAGTATATGAAAATGACCTCAGGACAATTGCGAACCTCAAAAGTGAGATCATCTGTTTCATTCAGGCCATACCTGCTGAGGAATGCTTTCAGCTCATTGACAACTGTGCTGTTTTGCCTACAGCGCGATAATGGTCAAATCTGAAGCATGTTATTCAAAGTGCTGTAAAATTGTGACTATCAGTCTGATGGTCATGAAATATGGTAGGGTGGTAGGAAATTGAATGATGTACAAATGTGTGAAATATCAGGGAGTAATTCCTTAAATTGACAAAGATATAAGGAAAATGCAGGGTTTCCATTTTTTTTGACCACCCTAACATAAGCTAATTACGTAAATTGCGTGTCTGTGTATGGTACATTTATTAGATTTATACCCCCTTGCTGGTGCTTTCATTTTATCTTTATTGCAAACTCCATTTTTTATCTACTCCAATTAACACTTACCTGAATCTGTTCGTCTCTCACTAGCCCCGGCTCTATTGTGTAGAGACGCGGGAATGTTCGGATCCCTACGAATTGGCAGATTGAGTTGTCAACAGTGTTACACTGGATAAAAAATGAATCCACGTATTAGTTTGATTATTAACAAATCGAATATACAAAAATCACTCTGTTCGTCTAACTCATTAGTTCATTAGATTTTGGAATAAATCTTGTCGTTACCAAGGTGGTACAATTTTTACATCACATGTTTAAACAATAAAAGAAAGGAGTATGACGTCATGATGATGTGGATTGTGCCATTTTTTCATGCTCATGACGTCACGAGTTTATCATAGCTGGATGATTTGACATGGGAATAGTAAACCATTTTATTCCAAGTTTAGACCGATATTATGAACGTTTACTATCACTTATCTTTTCATATTTTTAACTAATTTTCAAACCTCTTTTGCCGGAGCCACCAATATCAGTCTTGGCCCGTGTGATGTTTTCGCCTTCATCTTCTTCGCTGTTGTTTGGACTGGTCGGATCACGTCTTTGTACTTCAGTGGAGCAATAACAAATGATGTTCCCAAGGTAGAGCTATTTATTACGTCACACAGTGTTAAAAAGATGATGATAAATCGGAATGTGACGTCATGTGTAATCATGACAATTATTTTATTTACCTCAAGTGACGCCATGCGTGTTGCCAAGACAAAGCTTTTCTTGGTGATATCATAAAAGAAGTTCTGAGATTAAAATAGATGTTCCATGGATGGAGGTTTCGATTTTTGTAAAGTATCGACTTTTTCTCATGTGACAGTTTTCTGTGATCCATTGGGCAACAAGAACAAGGACAACAAAATTCTAAAAAGCATATGTTGTGTTGTTTTGTCTTAGTCAGAGGTCACCTAGCTGTTAATTTTTGACGAAAGTAGCCGTTGCACTTTTCCACTGATCCCATTTATTATAAACACAAGTTAAAACTTTTCTTTAACTCACGAAAACATTATTAAGTTTTAGTATAGAGCTGTATTTTTTCCCATGCAGCATGTAATTATAACATAAATGTGACATCATATAATTTTGCTATCCTGGGATGTTTAATTTATATAGTCGGAAGAAAATGTATATCATTATGATGAGAAATGTCATATTTAAGGTGAGAAAGTACTCAAGTCAAATATATTGTTCTCCATACCATGCAAGGCATGCATGGTCCTTTTCATTGTTTAGATCTAAAATAAATATATTTGTTGAAACATCTAAAAGCCTCTGTCACATTTGTTACGATTTGCTACGGCGACCGTACGGTTTATCATTTCTACTACGGCCATTAACATTACTATGGTCTTCTTCGAATCTCTGCAGACACACTTGCTTCGGAAGTTTTGCGCATTTTGGTTTTGATGAGACAAAAACTACAGTTACCATAAGGTCTTTAAATGATGATGCACGATCGGCGTAAGGCGTCCATACGACGGGCGCAGTTTCCTTGACAAAAACCTAGGTAGACGCAAGGCGACCGTAGGGACCTTATGACGACCATACGCTTTGCAAAAATCAGTTGCATTGCAACCCATATGATTCCCAAGGTAGCCGCAAATCACCCTTACGGTCGACGCTAGGTCCACCGTTGGTCCTTTCTACGGCTCGTTAAATGCCTACGGCTACTATGGCCTGTAAAAACTCGATAGGCCTAACGGAGATGGCGATCGTGAGGCGATCGTACCAGAGATTTACTGATTTCAGGGTCGGGCAAATGTTCACTGAACTCCGGTCGAGCAAATGTGACTGAGGCTACCCAGCTTTTGCCAAGAGGGGTTTCACTTTGAACAAAATCCCATGAAAAATGCTCAGTATGGTGAAAAACTGCATGACTTTGAAATAATTTTTGGCCAAGGGGACAAACCCGACCCCCCCCCCCCCCCACCCCCACTCCTGTCTACGGGCCTGGCATACTAGGTTCAGTAGCATAAAGGCATAGGCCCCTTGAGTCATTTGTAAGCCACATGGCTATGAATTCAAACACCTGGATGGCCTACATGTAAGCAATATTTTGATTTCTAAGAAACTAAGATTGCAGCGGTTGACAAAGTCACACGCGTCGTGAACTGTGCATGAGAATCGCTATTGTAATTATGGTCATTTTTATTAATAATCAGAAATAGCCAGGACTAAAAATAGATATCATTTTTCGAGTATTGAGATGATATTATCATTCTTCGATTGTTTCCGGAGATCTATCGTTTCAAATGAAAAAATGCCTCAATTAATACGTTTATGATTGATAATCACGCCTTCGCACATAATTGGAAAAGTGCGTGCAAAACGAAACAGTAAGTTCGATGTGTAATTGTTAACCTACTTCCTTGCCAGAACAGTCCATCACGTAACAATATGGACGAACCTTCTTCGTAAAACAACGGCACCCCCCTCTACAGCAAAAAGTCCTTTATGTTCCATATCGTGTCATACTTCATTTGAAAGATAATTTAATTCTGGAGTTACTCATCAAATTTCATTTAATAAAACTTAATACTAAAAAAGCTACAGTGTTTAAAGTTTGCTACTTCTGTACTCTGTTTGCTGCTCTGTTACTGGTTAAATGTCAAATCTTCAGAGAGTGAAATATGAAATAATTACTCCAGATTCCAACTGAACTGAACATTTGGGTTCGTTTCTGAAAAACAGGGTACAGGAACTGATGGACAAAGAGCCTCTTGAAAAAAGACACAGTAAGGAAAGTGTGAAGAGGATTATGCAATGCTACACCTTTATGTGAATTTTTGTTGAAATCATATCCGTCCAGATAAGCTGCTGTTTGAGCAGCAACTGGTGGTCATACCAACTATTAAGAATCAGCTGTAAATCTGTAAGATTATATGATATAAAGCTGACATTTCTCAGGTAACTCCAGAATTAAATTGTCTTTAAAATGAGATATGACACACCATGTAACATTAACACTCTTAAAAATTATTACTTGGATTTCCTTATATTGAGAAATTGTACTACTCATTTTAAGTCAAAAATTAGTTAAATAATCTTGAACTACTGAATAATTTTTAAGTAATTTTTAAGTAATTCATTTATAGTGAATTTACTAATGCAAGGAGAGAAATTGAAATACTTACTGTAGTAATTGTAATACTCATTTACATAATTAAGCAATAAAAAACTCAAAATGACAATATAAGTTAAACCTAAGTAAAATGAAGTAAAACTAAGTATTTAACTTTAAGTAATTTTCATACTTGGGAAATACTTGGGAAATACTCAAGTAATTCATTTTTAAGAGTGAAGTACTTTTTGCTGTAGAGGGGGGTGCCGTTGTTTTTTGACACCCTGTATATATGACTGGATACGAACAAATAACCGATTCCAAGCGGCCTATTACATTTATTATATCTAATTCCCGCAGGCCCCTAATCAGTTTTGTGTGGGGTATAGAAACAAATATGCTTTGAATCTCCATGTATATGGATTTTTCTTTTCAACCAAATATGAACTAGGGCAAAGTGGCAATCAATCATATAAATACGTGAAACGTGTAAATTGTGGTGTGCACAAAAATATTTTGCGTTCCATGACGCATTTAATGTGTTTTATATCATTATTAATCTATTCGCTTTAGATTTTAATATACTGTACGCGGAAGATTCACATGCGCATCATCATGTGCTTCATTATGTAGATATTAAAAAGCTCAATCGTCATCTCGACTTGTATTTTTGTTTGGGATAGAGGTCCATGATTATGGTAAGGACAGGTGATGCGAGCCATATCAATTATATCCCATAGACGAGTAGGAAAATCCTCCAAAGCCTTCAAATAAGGGAGTTTAATATTTTACTGACCCCCAGCGAAATTTTGGTACCATCGGAAAGCTCTGATATCATGCATTGCCAATTTGAGGTTTAATAGAATTTTGACTCGGGCCGTTACCATGGAAACGGACGCTATAAATAACTCCCGCTTTTAACGAGTGTTAATACGATAAAATATGTATTCCCAGATATCTTTTTTATTTTCTATCAGATATTTATAATATGGGTATCAAATGAAAGTTCATGATGGCATCTTTACAATGAGGTATGAATTATGCAAATTAGCTCATTAACATAACCATTGTGACGTCATAACTGACAAAATTTAAAAGATTTTAAAAAAAAACTTAGCTGTGTACCTGTATAAAGGTCCCGTTATTTAAAATTACGATGTATTTTTTCCGTTTTTCATATTCATTTGAAAGAGTACGATACCAGCTTCAAAATAATGTATAAAATATGCCATTTCTGTCTAATAAATTTCTTTATTGAGCTCCAAAAGGGTAACATGCACAATCAAAAAATTGTTTTGAAACTGATCCCCTTTGAAAGAAATGTCGAAAAGAAGGCAGCAAGGTATGTTTTATCTTGGATTATCGCTTTCATTTTCGTCAGATAATTAAATGTTTGGTATCAAATGAAAGGTAATGCTTTTTCCTTTTTGATGAAGTATAATTTATGTAAAATAGCTCATTAACGTTTCAATTGTGACGTCATTACTGACATAATTGACACAAAAATGTCAGAGAAGTCAAATCTATCTCATTTATGTTAAAAGGTATAGACTTGTTACTTTCTATTGGATCTTAATGATTAAAGTACCATCTGTATGCTTGTCATGCATTCCTTTTTAAAATATATATCAAAAACATCTAGTACATAACTTTAATACATTGTGAACTGTGATTGTAAGAGCCTTTCAGTCATTATTCGTGTATTTAGCTCTTTTATGATTAAATTCAAATTTACCTAACATGGAGTTAAAAGTGTGTTTTCCCAATTTTGCAAGAAACAATATCATACCATTTTTTCAATAGCAATAAGACACATTTTAGTACAAAAAACAAATTGATGAAGGGGGTGGGGGTCAGTAGTTATTTACGCATGTAATAGGGATTTAAGACGGGGAATATCACAAGGATGATATTCATATCACCCAAGAGGTATTACTCATCCGACAGGTGAATAATTATATCATCCTGATAGATGAATAATGACACTTTACTATGGTCAAAAGCAATATCTACCAAAAAAACAAACAATGAGAAATAACATTGGAACAGAACTAAAAATAACACTGGAAGTCATTTTGGGAGTCACTGTTGCTGTTCCTTTAACTTTGAGAATACTCTTCTCAATAATAAATTTGCACTAATGGGATGATATGGATATCAACCCCATATCATCCCGTATATCATCACAATATCAGTTGTGGTCCCAAATATGTGATTTATCCTTTGCTGTTACATACCTGATACTGCTTTGACTATACGGTATGATACAAAAGAATACCATAAAACTGTTACTTTGTAATTAATCCCTTGGTATTTTGGAATGATATATCATATTTTTATCCACTCATTGTAATTGATTTATGATAATCATTCGTATATTGATATCATATTCATTCATATTCATCCGATGGTTTATTTAAACGAGAGTGACATTCCATCAAATATGGCCTTTAACTCTAAAGTTCCTAGTCTTATTTTTGAAGTAAGCATTAGTTTTGTCTGATTTTTCATGTAACTGCTTTTCTGGAT